GTATTGCGTATAATATAACTTAAACTATATATCATGTGGAAAATGCTTTTATAAAATATTGTTATCCTTTTCGAGTTAAACGCATTTTAATACACCCTACACATTATATACACGTAGTTAAACGTGAATTTGTAATACTTAGCAAAATGTGCATTTGAAAATTAGAGCTTTTTTATATTATATATTATAATATACAGGGTGTAAAAAAAATACCTGACAGATGAAAAATGAAAAATTGATACAATAGTCAAAAGTATGAAAATTGTATGGATAGTAAATGTTTAAGAATTCACTTATGTCTGAAAATTCACAAAATTAATATTTTGAAAAAACTAATTAAAATTAAATTCAAGTAGGACTTATACTTAAAAAAATATTAATACTCTTTAGACTGAAAACAAACTAATTAATTTTTAAATTAGACTTACAAATTGGCCGTTTGGTATAAAAAAAATAAAAATGTAGACCTTATAGGTACTTGAAGAGCGATCGTGTATGAACTACGAACAAAATAATTGTTTTTTTAAATATTGATTAGAGCAAAAGTTATTTAATTTGTCAAATATTTCTATGACAACTAGTATATAGTCTGATTATTTTATTTTTATAACATTACCGGCCGAGGCCCAAAAATATAAAGCGATAGACATAGGTATTATGATAATATAAAAAATGTTTACAGCTATTTTAATTAGAATAATAATATTAATAGTAACAATAATTATAATAAAACATCCAGTTGATAAATAGTTTAATGACAGTTAAAATCGGAGTCTTAAAAAATAATAAGAGAGAGATTTTAGTACATAATTAGAAATATAAGATTTAATAACAAATGAACAAGTACAAATCTAGTATTACAAGGGGGGGGGACTTTAAAATTGATTTGCGAAACTGTGAAAAGAGTGTAAGACTGTCGATTGAATTTGATAAAAGTTTAGAAAGAAGTGATATATTATGATATTATAATCCTTTAATTCAATTGTATGTTATTGTACATCTTTGTACAAATTATTCATCTTTATTTATTTTGCTTTAATATATGAAAATAACTCATCTTCTATTTTTGACTCGACATGATAATTTTTATTTTAAAGGTGCATATTTTAAAAGTTCAAAAATCATATAGAAAAACTCGAAATCGTATAAACATTGAAAACCGCAAAATGCCGCAAATTATTTTTCATTTGTGATTTGAGTTCATGGAATATTGACCAGATGTTGAGACAATAAATACAGTGCATATTACAATATGGTTAATTATGTATGTTGTAGAACACATGTCAACAAACACCTTTTATATAAGTACCTATATTTATCATATATTATTACACCCATGTATCATGTATATTCTAGTTTTTTGAACATACGTAATTTTCGTGCTTTATATAGATTATAAACAATAATATTTGGTGAATGATATAATCTTATATAAATTATAATATAATATACACAGTTAAAATATGGAACAAAAACATTCAATTTTTGGCTAAATTGAATTTCATTTATGTATATGATCAGACCGAAAAAAGATTTTAAAAAATATTTCGGAATAAACCAATATACTGTCTTTGCTTATTTGGATGAATTTTTGCTTGCCGCCGTCACCCCTCATCAAAAATCGAGTAGATCCCCGAGTAACTACACAGCTGGAGGCCAATGCTGCAGTTGCGATTTTCTACGGTTTCGACCGAGTGCGCGGCTTGAGTCGTTGAACTTTTTGTAGCAATATTAGACTTAAAAAATCGAAAAAACACATACGTTTTTCGAAATATTTTCCTTGTTCTCTCGTAGTCTTTTGTTGTCACCGCCACATGTATATTATATATTATTATATGTGTACGCATTAAAAAATTATATCAAACCGTCGATAATCTGACTTGAGCACGCACATATAGTGCACGATGAAGTGGATAGGAGGGGAAAATAAACCGGGAAAAATCGAGGAAAAGTATACTACCGCGACACACCCGCTGTCCTAACCTGCCGCCAATTGCGTACACGCACGAGTCTCATTACATATGACATATAATATTATATACACATTATTTATTACTCGACGCGTCGTCGTCAAAATTCACACGAAAAACTACATAAAACACCTTGTGTGAGTCGTATAATGGTGATTATGACACTGTGCACATTTTATACCTTAAATATTACTTAGGTACCTACCTAAACTGCGGAAAATGATTATTATAACTTATTGGTGGTTATTATTGACCTAAAAAAATACTTCTATAGTTCTATTTATTTATAGTAATAATACATATATATTATTAAACGTAACTGCTTAAGCGTTGTATAGTACTATTATACATATATAAGTAAAATGGTAAGTACTTTGTCTATTAAAATTGATTATAAATTATAATCGATGCTATAACATACCTGTTTGTATGTAAATGGCATTGCCACATGGAATTGTACCATTTTTCATATTGCTTGCCCCCCTCCCCCTCCCCTCAATTGACCTACATAAGAGAAAATACAATTCATTTGTGTGATGTAATGTGATATCCATTATTTTAAGATCTGTGTGTGACGCCCATCATGCAAACATGTCATGCCGTGTACATTATTTATAAATCTACTATATTATATCCATCTAAATATTTATAAAATGTACTTATTGAAATTTAGTTAACATTGTTTTATTTCATAGGTATGGAAAAATAAACAAAAGGTGTAGAAGATTGAAACATTGGCGTGTTAGGTATTATTATATTATCATCATCGGAACTGCACGCGTACACGCCTTCTCTGGTCCCATAATATTATTATTAGTTATTACTCATCATCACACGTCATATATACGTAGGTGCTTCTTTATAGGTACAGTGCAGGTATCGATCATCTCTGCATCGACCGACTTTGTATTATGATTAGACAGATAGTTTTAGATACCTATACCTCTACCTATATACGTATAATATAATAATGATAATACCATTTCAGTGGGTGAAGGCGTTTTCAAAGACGGCCAAGCGACCTAACTCCGCTATACCACCATACCATATACCCATATACCTATATATGATGCGTGCTTTGCCATACATTAAGGAAAAAAATTACACTTCATCGATGGAAAATAAAAAAAACCCAACTCGTAATGACAAGCCACGCTCACACCGCAAAACCACATTTAATCGTTTCCGTCGAAATGAAAAACGCACATTTTTCTAACGGTCTCCGTACTATACAAATTACATGGGTACATACATAATATAATATAAAGTTTCAACGTGTATAGGTAACAACAGGCAACAGCGACGCATCATATTATTATAAATCATACACTTTAACCATATACCTAATAATAGAAGGTACATCACAAAAATTGTGTTACGCGAGCAAATGGGCATCACCGAACGGTATTTTCCTGAGGTATTTCTCAGTATTTTTTAAGTCTCCATCAGTGGTTCTCAACTCCCTGCGAAACTATTGTAAAACATTTAATTGTTAATTTATTAAAACTACGAAAAAAAACAATTTACATACACAAATTGTTTATAACTCAATAATGATAATGCCTTCAAGTTTCAACGTCATAATATAATAATACTTACATAAAAATAAAAACAAGTAAAATAACAAACTTGCCGAAGAATAAACCTTATTTACACTGTCATCTAAGAATACGATCACAGGAAAGACAAAAAAGTATTATATTATTTGATTAGGTAATGAGATATTTCTAGAAAACTCTTGTATTATTTTAAAATTTGAAGAAAACAGGAAAAGTTTGAGTTATTAAAATGTTCGATAAATCGAGTTTAATATTGTACCTACCTAATGTAATTATTTTAAGGGAAATTCAATTGTCTTCAAGATTACGAACAATTTGACTAATTCGAGACATTAAGTTTGATATAATAATAATAATAATAATAATAGCAAAATTATATTTTCAAAATATTGTAGAAATATTGCAGTACAAATATTCCAAAATATTTTAAATATTTTTGTTTTGGATTGGAAACTTTTTAGTATATTATTGTATTTTATATACCTACACAATATCATATTTTTCAAAACATTTTGATACCTAAATAATGTTATGTTATTGTCATATTATATCACCTTATTTTCACACCGATTAACAGTAAGTCGGTATTGTTTCAAAAGTCAATAACAATAAATAATAACACGTTGTATAAATATTTTATGCTATTATAATAGTTTAACCATTGAAGTTGATTATCACAGTATTTTTTCTTTCTAAAATAAAAACATATAGCAATTCTTAATAAAATCAATACATTCTTCGCTCCGCTCAAAATCTAAAATTATTTAGCATATCTATATCTAATTTTAAATTTGAATGTTCAAAAACTAGAATTTTTTTATAATACCTAATATAAAAAATTAAAAATTAAATTAAATATAAAATTAAATAATAAAAAATATTCTATAAAATTATATAAAATAATGCATATGTTTTTTTTGAATATTTTTACAGTTTTTGAATATGTACGTATGTTTTTAGAAGCCTATTCGCATATAAATGCATATAATATACTTTAAAAAAATGATTGTATTTTTCAGATTTTGTTAGTGCTTATGTGTGAACATATTTTATTATTTTTTCAGCGTTTAAAGTTAAGTAGGTATTATAAGAATTAATAGTTGTTAAATAGCTTTTATGTCTGAACTATTAAATACATATTTGGGAGGGGGAATTTATATCACATTTATATTCATAAAACAATAATACTACTAAGTACTACATAGTGAAGGTAGTTACCTAAAAATAAATCTTATATTAAATAATGTGTTCTACAATTCTATGTAACACTACTTTTGGCCTTTGTATTCTAATTAATAATTAGTAATTAATATAGGTATCCAACAGATAATAAATACTTGTACCTAGAGATATAATAAATTATATATTTGATAATTAATGATAATATTTTTTTTATATAAGTTATTAATAAAATAAAATAAATTAATACATACAGTAAAAAATTCTAAATTTGAATATGAATTATGACATTTAGTTTTGTAAAAACATGCCAGTGGATGATTATGGAACAGGATGCCCTGTCAAATTTTGTTTTCCAGACAGTGTAAGTGACTGAAAAAATAGATGGTGATCCCTATCAAACTCAGATTTTATTTGTATGCAATACCATATGAAATTATTGAAATTGACATCGGCACAATTGAGACTGCAGAGTACATACACGAAAATTATTTTTCAATCAAATTAAAACGAAGGTTAGCGTCACCAAATCCAAAGTATAAGGCCCTATAGTAAGTCTGGTGATGCACCGCGGCATATTTCAATGCATAGGTCGTTATCATGAGACTTGCACAGGCTCTTGTGTACTCGGCACAAATGACTAAATTCACAAGTACATTTGTATTTACTGTCGCAACTTCTCGGGTCTGCTAAATTGCTAAATATAAAAATATTATACAATGTTATATACCTATAAAATATAAATAGTAGCTGAAAGTACTAACGTCTTTTGGCCACATTATTATTATCCGCAATCCTCCAATGAATTTAGCAATGTCCACTGCATACTCATCATCTTTAAGTGATATAACCTTCATCGTCTGCAAATATTATATTTTCGGTGGAAATAGTTACTAAATAATTATGTTTACGATATTATTGCTATATTACTATATTCATTGTTTCACCAATTAAGAAAATACGTACCTATACATAAATATATCAATACGTTGTAAGGTGCATACTCGCTTGTTCGTGATAGCTGTAGCCTGCAGAAGATGACGAAACCCTCTCTATGCGTGTGTCCAACTAATTATAAATTATGATAATATTATAATGTCAACTTCACCATTTTTTTTTTGTTTTTTATGTCAATAAATAATCAATATTATAATCATAATCAGTGGCGGCGCAAACATTTTTATTCATAATAGGTAGGTTTATGTGGCAATATTGTTGTTGTTAAACAAATTAAATAATCGCAAGTCGGCTGTGAGTTTTAATATATTTTTTTAAAATACAAGATATGTAGGTACAATGTAAAGTAATTGTTTCCCTGTATATATCATAATTTCTATGATTTCTTGTCAAGCAAAGGGTATTTGTTTAAGTTATAACACTATAACATATATAGCCATATAGGTATTATACTATTATATACATAATCTATAAGGAATACGCATATTCATCATGTTCCGACGGCATGAGTGCAAGACTATTATTTTATCAATGGCTCCGTAGTTATCATATTATTCGTATAGACAAAATAGGTGCTTAAGTATTTTTTTTTTTTAATTTTTAGGGAATATATAATGAATATTTATCACTTGATTCAAAAATTATGATGTATGAGTGGGAGAGAGGGTGGAGCCTCCCTTTTTCCCCTTAAATAATTTATGAAGATATTAACAACCAGTTATTGTCACCATGGGTGTACTCATACAGCTTTTACCTGATATGGCAATATTTATAGGTAATATCGATGGTATAGTACTGAAGTGCACAGGTGTGGTAAGTGACATAATTTAACAAACTGTTCAGTAGAGGAATTTGAAAGTGTACGCTTCGATATGCCACAGTACCTACTGTGTACAACGATGTGATTAGAGTATTTTGAGGTAGAAAAGAAATTAGGATTAATATAGTAACACGATTTTATAAATATACATGATATATATATTATAATATAGGTACATACTACGTAGAATTTAAGAGTTTTTACCTATTAATTACATAAAACTTAATATAATATGAATTATATATATATTAAATTCATAAGTATACATAATAATAATATAATATAAAGTTCAAAACAAACATATATTATTGCTTTTGTTTGATATTTTAAATAATGTTATTATCACTAATCAGAATCACCTTGTTAGAATTATGGTTACTGTGGTGTGGTGCGGTTTTAACCAGCTGGCGGGCTCATCGTCGTATAAACTATAATATGTAACGTTACATGAATTGTTATTACAATATTCAGTTCTTTTTTAAATTTATAATGTTTTATTTTTTACAACTATATCTATGTATCACTAGTTTAATATTTCCTATAGGAAAATAATATTAGGCAATTAATGATAAATTAACGACTAAATAAAACTAAAAAAAATAAAAATAAAAATACAATATACATAATATTTATTATTATGTTTAAAATTGTACATTTCGAATGGGGCTCATATAATATGATACACGTATAATATTATTACCATAGGTACTTAATTATAATATTATGTACGATGAGGAGACGGAAGAAAAGTAAAAACAAATATATATAATAGTTAAAATAGTAAAACCATCATCAAACGTCAAAAAAATAAAATATATAAACATGATTTTCCTTTCTTTTTCTCGTATAAAATACATGATAACGACGTGTGTGTATCATAAACGGATCGTGTACCACGGGCTGGTAATGAGGAGGGAAGGGTGCAATGCTGACGAAATAGTACACGATAAAAGATGAAAAACTGTAAAGCGAATATCGGTGGTTGATTTCTACAATATCCGTTCAGACGATGTGTGACCAACATCTCCTTTGCACAAATAACAAACAGTCGAGTCGCGTTCTATAGACATTGCGTTCAAGTCATAATAAAGCGATACAATTGTTCGCGTTTCGTTAGAAATATAAAATGAATCGTGTGTACACATAAATAATAATATTATACACAAACGCGCATAATTATTATAACGCAGATAACAATAGATATATACATCGATTAATATAATATGTACACGGTTGTATGACGATCGAGCTGGGACCTCTAACCTAACCGTGATGGAACGCCGAAATAAAAATTGGCGTTTTTCAAAATAATTGTTGTAGATACGGACAGATTACGAGATTTACGAGCGCCGGGCGAGGGCATCGTCCTATAATAAATTGTGGTTCGGTGGAAAAATCTTTTAACTTCTGTCAACGTCGGGATTTCGGTAAGACTATCTATGTACACTCACACGTATATTGTGACGATAGGTCGCACGGAGGTTGGGCGACGTCTCGCTGGGTGCAAAATAATCTACCGGTAAATGCAGTTACAAATGTATACTATAAAACAAATAATAATAGTTATATTATAAAATCTCCCCGACCAAAAGGTCACCATATCGAGGAAGCACCTAAACACGGTTGATTGGCAGGCGGGGGTAATTGTATATATTATAATATTATATATTGTAGTATAGCACGATATAATAGTTATATTATATTATAATAATATATTAAAAGTGAGCAAATGCGATACGAATTTATCGACAGCTAAAAAGGCAGTAGAGTAGAGTTAGGTACTAAAAATAACAATAAAATAATAATACAAATTTAAATTTAAAAACAAAACTAGAAACAGAAAGGAAAACAATGTACTTATCTAAAGATGACGCTGACGATCACGAAATCGAACGAATGCACACACCTTCATTAGTTTATTAAAAGAATGTTATATTTAATGTCAAAATAAACGTTTGGTCCGAAGCAGCGTTTCTGGGAGTGCTGGCCGATTTTTTTATATACTCATTATATCCTCATGACGATCTCGCGAATTCGATTTCGCGCGTGTGTGTTTTGGATATTCTATAATCTTCATCTTTTCCTTGGTTCTCTTCTTCCTCCTCCTCCTTTTGAATCATCTCTATTCTGTATATTATCTTATGTACACGACCACGATGAACAGTGATTTATGTATTGAATATATAATAAATAAGATGATCGTAGATCACCGCTAGGTCGAAAAATTAAAAATTAAAAACGTTGGTCAGACTGTGTATTGTTTTATGTATTTATAAATGGTTAACGTTTGAAATGGTGCCAAAATAGAAGGACACGAGAGTTAAGTAGGTACCTGAAAAAAGTAAAACAAATACATAATTACTACAAAATATACTATGTAGAAATCACATTTATGACAAAATTATTATAATGCGCACAAAAATACTAATAATAATAATTGTTATATAGTGCTTTTTTAGAGTTCATCTTTATCTTCATCGTCATTTATCTATTCTGGTGACAAATCGGTTCACTACGCTAAGGATTTTTTTTTTAAATTACTCGAAAGCAATGACGGTTGAGAGGCTTATAATATATTTTATACATAGATTCTATTAGCGCACTTATGTTGTCTTGTTAGTTTTTTTTAATCATTTCGGAATTTGGATTACGTAATTCTATCACTGTCCGCAATCGACTTGTGTTTTGTATTTATTACTTAGAGGTTAGAAGTACCTACTGACTTACGATAATCATAAAAAAATCTATAATCCATATTTGTTTTAAATTCTATAAATATTTAAATATAATACACGTTGACCTATTTATGTACCACTGTATATAGAGTACATATATTGACTTCATTAGAAGATGGAATAGGAGTAAAATATATATAGTAAATATAATACGTAAATTACAACCTGAAAAAACATATTTCCGGACATTAACAATCCAGAAGACAAACATGTTTCGATTCAGAATAAGTGTTTACAGAAAAAAATGCATAAAAAAATACCTCAACTGCATCATATTATCATCTTAACATATTACATTATACATATATGTATAAATATAATATACCTATAGTACATATATTAAACAGATTTGCGATAGTTGTGTCACGGCAGCAGATAAACGATTATTATATTATGCATATTTACAATTTCGTGATTATTGAAAATCAATAAAAAAATATTAAAAACTATGTTTTAATAGCACGCATACCTACATAATATTATATAACAAAAATATACAACGCATATTTATGATAAGATTTAATTCAAACATCGCGGCAACTTAGTGAATATAATTATTATTAGAGTTCACGCGATGTAAAGTTTATAGAAATAATAATCTGGAGAAAAAACCGAACGTGTGTTCATTGGAAATTCGAAAGAAATGTGTAAAAGAGCAACTGCAGGCGTATTGTTGAAAAAATATACATTTTATAATCGGGCCCGTAAAAAACCATCAGATGTCTGCATATCACTTCTACAAACGTATTTTATTAGTCACACGCCATCGGGAAAACTTTAACGACCTCGCAGAGGCGAGACACGCAGCGACTGACGCTCGTTCTCCAGTATTCTACGTATACACATATTAGGTATTACCATAAAATCGAGGTACCTAAATACCTAATCTATTTAACTGCCCACACTAATTTTCCAAGAATTTTTTATGTTTTGAAATATTTTTAATTAGCTTAAAATAATTTTAACTGATTTTTAGATTTTTAATTTGCTTAATGATGTTTATTCATTTTTAATTTTATTATAGAAAGCAGAATACTTTTCTCAACATTCATAAATATGGAATATTGAATTCATAGTTTCTATATTTAATTGCCCTTAAAATTTAAACGGGCAATGGGCATATTGCTGGAACATAACTTACAAAGTACTTGTATTGTATATAACTATATATTATTATCTATTCGTTAATGCAGTTGAACTGGGAGAGAAATTGAGAATCGATGTCTTGGGATAACACGAATAAAAATCTAAGGTTAGGTTTATATCTACTCCGTTAAAACTAATATGATTTGTATTTGTCATGAGCCATCTTTCTTACTACAGGACAGACAATATTATGATGTAACATTATTTATTATACGGTAAACCACCCACAACTGCCGCCACCGTATCTTAATCCAATAACGCGTTTTCGACTCTAAATAGGTATACATTAACTATACATTCTACAGTGATTTGTATCGTACTAGTTATAAATAATATTATTAATTTAGCCGAGGCCCAACGCACAAACTTTAAACTTAACAACCCATTAATATCCGAACATATAGCATTGGAAACCATTAAATTCTACTTTTGGAATGTATTTACTCGATAGAACAAACTCTTAACATAAATCATTGCCATACCATGCGATTTCAACGAGAAACGGCGATAACGACATTTTTGTAAGTAAGTAAATGAAAAAAAATTACCTACAAATTAATCTGTAAAATATTCATCATATTATATATTATATTTATTTATAAAGAACCAATCTATTTCTCAATAAATTTATATTTTTAGAAACATTTTTTTTTTATATGACAGTACCTAACTATATTGGGGATACTTTTTTTTTAACGAAAGCATGGATTTTAAATTTAGAATATTTTTTTTTAATGATTTGATTTATAAAACTCCACAATCGAAAAAGTAGGTTACCTATAAATCCCTAGGTCCTAGGGACTAGTAAATTAGTTACTATTTATTAATTGAAGTTATACCTTATAAGTTATAAGAGTCTATAAGTACCTATTAAAAGTTTAGATGAGCTGAAGGTGTACCAACATTTTGAGGACATATTACGAGGCGAGATGATAAAAACAAATAATATATAGAGTAACCACGCTGTAAAGCGCAGCACCAGAGTCGTCAACTGTAAGACAATTTGATGAATAATGGGTTAAAAAAATCACAGAAATCATAAAATACAAAATAACTCTGAGACAATTTCCATACAATAATTATCATAATTCATAAGCAATGATTGCATTATATTACCGAACTATATTATGTACTATAACATTATAACAATCTCATTTAACGATGGCTAGAAGCTGTGGGAAAGAATCGTAAAAACGATGTCATAAAAAATTTAAGTTCCATCTTAAATGACAAAACTTTAATCATACTAGACAGAATTGTAATAGTGTATTTGTATTGCACAGAGTAGATAAAGAAATTTACCTCGGTAATAGGTTTGTCATAATAATATCATAAATCTAAAAAATTCTTAAAATAATTATTACTGTGTTTGCTTAGTCGATTGACATCAATAAAAATTAATTATAAGCTATGTCACAAGATGTAATCAAATTTTAAATTTTGTTTCTTTTCATCACCAACTATATACAGATTATATAAATAATTATTATTTCACTATAATTATTTGGCTCACCGTGTTTTTTTTTGTATTTTATAGACCGAAAATATATTTCCTTTTTAGTATAAATCAAAAATTTAATCTTTTACAAATAATAAAAATATATACACATATATTGCCACAAAACCGGGTTTTTATGTCGTCAGATCAATTAAAATATATGCAGGGTGTCCACTGTCCGGTGAGGATATATTCATTAGCTGTTGAGGGGGAATCGTCTACCGGACAAAAACGGGTTTTTAGCGCTTTACCCATTAATTAAAAAAATAATTAAAAATCATGAAATGAAGGAAAATAAATTGTTGAAAAATCAAAATGTTCAGAAAAATAAACTCAACAAAATTGATATCTTCAATTGTTTCAAATATAAAAAAATAAATAGTTAATTTGTTGACTTTTTAACCAAAAATTTAAATTAAAAAATAAATTATATGTAGTCCTTGTTCATGGGAGTCTAGTAAAAAAAAAAACCGATTTATGATATATTTATTATATTAAGAGATATCGCCAATGGATAAATCTTCATGGGACACCTTGTATATTTGAAACATACAACCCTAATTATGTTACTAATTTTGGTTGATAAACATATAATATCAATTAATCATAGCCATTAGCCAATAAAATATTACTAAGTTGTATCTATATCATGTTGTATAGATTAAAATCATTGTTTATAAAAATTACTTAAAATATTATTTAATAAATACTTACCATAAACAGTGGTATTTAAAAATGTCACTAGAAAAGTCTTTGTAATTAGGAACAATATAGCATTCCTACCACTGCAATCAAATGGATCAACTACTGATGAAGTTCAACCAGTTTATGAAATCCATTACTGCCCTTACAGGCATGTCTGACGAGAGAGCTTTAACTCTTAAATTTCGATCCTCTGTCAGCAACACAACATCCCTAAATATTTTTTTGGGTTCTCCTAAAGCAAGTCAAAAATAAATAAAATACTATTCCTGTACTTTTATAAATGCAAATTTACCTTCCACTGGTGGATTTTCTACGGGTAGTTGAGAATTGTTTTTACATAGACTTAAACAAGTTGCCAATATTTTATCATCATTATTTCCCACCTAAATAATAAACAGCCATTAAAATGAGATTTAGACATTTTAATTTCTAGACCAACAAAGCATACAAAATTGTTTTCTTCTTCAAAACATGTAGTCGATTTAAAACTTGACCCTTTGGTTGTCACAAATTTCACGGCAGCTGAATCAATGTTTTTTAATATTTTTAAAGCCTGTTTAGCAGCGTCACACACTGTATCTCTGACCCATCCACCTTTAGCCAATCCTTCCAATTCAATAAGTACTAGTGTTGAAAGATAAAATTGTGTTAGTATTTTTTTTTATAATTCAAGTAAATCAATAATCTGAAAAATCAGACTTGTCTAAATAAAATGGAATGACATTTTGTTGCAATTGTGGATTTTTCATATTAAGATCAACCAATTTCATAAGAAAGAAGAATACAAGCTTGTCCATCAAAAATAGTTGTTTCATAGCAGAACAACATGATGGAATCAAGAGATTTTGCATTAATCCAAGACGTGTTATTTTCATTTTTAAAAAAGTTATGGGTTTGGTACAAGTTGGGTTTCTCAAACAACTGATTCAATTAGTATAAACTTGATACAAATTTTAATTATTATCATTCAACTTACCAACAGTAGGGATCATTAGAGTGCATGTATGTTCTTGTGCATGTGATAAAGAATATATTAATTTCTCTAGTTGTGGCAAATAGTCAATAAAACAATTGGTGTCTGGAACCACAAAATGCGGCTTGATTTCAATTTCAATACAATACGAAGCTTGTTTCAATATTTCCTAAAAGAAAAAAAATACAATAAGTTTACAAGCACTAAAATATATATAATATATTTATTAAAAATGAATATAATTCAATAAATTTCATACTTGTACACGTTTTTGTCTCAGTTCTTCGTTCCTTTGTTTCTGTTCCAATTCTTCTTTTCTACTTAGAAGCTTCTGTATTTCATTTGAGATTGGTTTGGCCTGTAACTCCGATACGGATTTGTCTTCAGATGGTCTTGATTTTAAATCATTTTCCTCATCAATCCAACTTTCAAAACACATTTCTTCGTCTTCACTCTAAAATAAAATATTATCAAATATTAAACACTGGATGGCAAATATATATATATATATATATATATTATATAAATAATATAATTACATCATCTTTGGGACTAGCTGTTTCGACAACAGAAATATATTCACTTGCTCCAGTATCAGTTTTATGTAATTTAAATACAGGTGGTTCAGTTCCACACAAAAATTCTGTGCCAAAGAACAATATACAGTTCACTCTATGGGTGAGCTCAGACAGGACCTAAATATATTTTATTTGTTTATTTCTAGATATGTCAACAATGATATTTATAAATTAATACTTACTCTATCTGAAGTAGTTGTAATAAATATAGGTTTTAGCTCGTAACCAATTATTGGTGTAAAACCACTAAACATAGAATCTTCAGGCAATTTAAGTTGTTGTCTTAAACCTAAAATGTATTAAACAATATATAATTTATGTAACCTCATACGTCTTTTTATACATCCGAACAAAACAAATAGATTTTTTCTCTTACTTGGATCACTTTCGTCAGGCTCATTCAAAACTAATTTGAAATGCTCCTGGAATTTTTCCAAATTGTTTACCAGAGAAGCTAATCGACACCAACAATCTCCAGTCCCACTGAAAAATATATATTGAGTGCAAAACATGACAGAAAATAACACAAGATGCATCTTTTACAACCAATAAGGGTAGTCGGGTATTGAACAACAACCAAACAACACATGGCTGTTGTGTACAGTGCATAGTTTATAGTGAATTCAGGCAGAGTCAAAAGTTTAGGGGATCGCAAATCCTCTGCATTTTTCATCAAAACAACCTTAGAGACTGATAAAAATTTAGGTACTTCTAGTGAAAAATGTAAAGATGTTTCAATTGGTAAACAAGTCTTCTTTACATGGGTCTATGCATTTATTTTATATTTTTAGTATCTTTTAAAATACTTAATATTAAAAATTGTCAAATTTATAAAATGTAAAATATTTATTCTTGTCAAAAATTTGCTAAGAATAAAATATTCCTCCGATTGATGGAAAGTAAACTTGTTTACCAATTAAATTCTCTTTACATTTTTTAAATCAATCGACCAGAAGTACTTGTATTTTTGTCAGACACATAGATTTTTCACATTCATAAATCAGTTTTGAATATTTTGCTCTGATGAATTAATGAAATGTGCATGAGGGTGTGTAATAAGGTTGATACGAGTGATTGGGAGGGAGTTTACACACACTAATGATAATTTACAACTCACAGATCTGTACTATTTGAATGTATTCAGTTATCACCTATAATATTGTCTATACAAAACCCCTTAAAAATTGTGCCTTTGCAATCCCTTTAAAATAATAATAATTAATTACTATGACCTGACATATGTATTTTAATATATCCAGACAATTTGACATTTTGGACATACCTCAGGAAAAATTTTGAATTTTGTAGTAAAAATTATAACTAATTTTAAATATTCAAGCAACATATGTTTTAAACAGTATCATAGGAATATCTAAAAAATAAATATAGAATGTTTAAAATGTCTTAAAGCATTTCAACAATATTTTTCCATACTGAGTTTACTGCTTGTCCCTAATATTTTAATAATACTGTGTCATGCTTTCAAGCTAAATATGGGGAAAATATAGGGTGCCATACAACAAATATAGCCCCAGGGCACAAAAACTCTTAATCCCGACCTTGCAACTACCCTGCATTGATTGTAGCATAATGATTTTTAAAAAAAACTTACGAGAGTTTATAATCCGAACACGATGGAGGAGGATTCCATACTTTAGAATTGCAAAGAAGCCAATCACACCATACCTAGATTAAAAATAATTTGAATTAAACCTTCCTTGATTTTAATTTTAGATAATCTAAATCATACCTTAATTGGCGGTAACAGAAAGTCTATGTCACTACCAATCAACTGTTTAGCTGTAGATCCATCATCTTTATTCAATATGTCTTTCAAAAGTTGATTGCATCGGTCAACAATCAAGCTAAACATTTGCAATGACATTGCCAATGCACACTCGTGAACGGTAGACCAATATCCTTGTTCTACATGTGTTTCTATAATAAACGAATTGTATACAAATAAACAAAACAGTACTTGATTTGTTGTGTTGTTAAACTGTTTCAGTGAAATTTATTTTGTTTACCTTTTGGACGACTGTATTCAATTGAAAACATGTTCAAAGCCAAATACTGCAAAAACCTTGTCGGTATGATTGGTATTGGTGTATTTGACAATAATTTACGAAATTCTCTTAACATTTGTAATGCTGTATCTTGAAAACTCTCCATACTAAAAATTAAATACAGCTTTAATAATTATAATTTACATTAAAAAAAATTGATGTTAACATTTATTATTTAATCAATCTTTCAAAAATGTATTAAATTTTTCAAGAACAAAAAGTAAGAACTTAAGTTGAGATACAGTAAAAAATTTACCTACTTATAAATTTAGCAATTAGTGATGTATATAATAGATTATTAAAATAAAAGGGTCAAGTAATGTTTAGTTAAAATACTCTGTCTAGCAAGACAACAAAAATATATAGTAGAGTATAAGCAAACAAGGGGGTTTTATTTACGCCTATGAAAGAAACCAAGGACTAAGGTTACTGGCCTTTACATTATATAAAACCAACCTAATGATAATGAGTAAAACACTAAGTTAAAACAAATATTTTATGTTGTACATAAAAAAAAAAGTTAATTTATAAAAATTTACTTTTAAAGGTGGAAGTTTGGGATCCTCTATAACCAGGTGTAATAAGTGAATTGATAATTATAAAAGCTCTTTTAATTAATTAAATAGTTATTGTTTTATAAGTTAGTGTTCAATATCCACCAACCAAGAGTAAGCATTATTTGGAGTATTTTGAAAATGACAAAGGCATAAATGATAAATTATAATAATACCTACTAAATAATTTTGTAGATTGGTTCTGAATACATACATAGGCGAAAACAACCCACATTGTATAGGGGGACTAACCCTCCTCCTAAAAAGAACTTTCCAAAAATTATGTATGCTTCGCATTAACTACTAACTTTTAAATTGAGGGTATTGGCAGAAATTTATGTGAGACCAAATTCCCTTCCCCTATTTGTACAAATGGATACAAATATATTATGTTGAAAAATGATTCAAAAACACATTGATAATATAAAGTAGATTTAAATGAAATTGAACTTACCCAACTTTAGTAAACAGCTTTCCATGAACATGGAGAAAACTTACAATAAACCTTTTATTAACCTGTAAGAACATACATTACATTAAATGTTAATTTATACTATTTAATTAAGTTGAACATAATTTGCTTATAGCCATAAGTATTTATTTACACAGTTCTACATACATAGTAGATACAAAAAATTAATTTTAAAATAAAATGCCAATTTACTTCAGACTGAGACAGTTTTGACAGTTCTTCCTCATCAATGTCTTGATTTGGTTCAGTGGATGATGTTGTTCTGTGAGAACGTTTACTGCCATCTGGGTGTATCCATATTTCTTTCCTTCTTTTACTGTATTTTTCTTTGGATGACATGGAACTCTCTTTTTCTTTAGCTTTTTCACGTTCACGTCTTTCTCTATCTTCTAGGCGTTTTCTATCAGTCATTTCATACTGTAACAAATAAAAATGTAAGGAAATGTAAAGAAAAACTCATTAAACATTATCTTACTTTTCTCCTATATTCTTCAAATAAAGATAATAAGCTATCTTTTGCTGACTGAAAAGGGTTTGAAGCCATCAAACTTCTCATGTAAAAATATACAGCATCAAGTTTTCGTTTTTCATACACAGCTAGTAGCGCTAATTGATTGTAAGGTCGACCGTTTTTAGGGTTTATTTGGTTGGCTTTGGTATACCATCTAAAATTATACTTGTGAGACAGATGTTACAATTTACATTAGTTCAATCAATACTTACTGTTTGGCAATAACATAATTAGTGCTATGATTCATGATATCTTTATACCTTGCCAAGTCTCCTAACGATATATATAATTTTTGAGATGATATTAAAGCAAGACCAATATTTCCAAGTTTTTTTGTAGACAGGCATGTCAGAGATACATAATCATCCAAATTAAAATTATAATGTTTTTCCAACAGTTTTAAAAGGTCATTCATATACTTCATACCCTAAGAGCATTCAATATTTTAATTAATAACTATTAATTTTAAGATTAATTTCTAAATGACTTACTTCTTCTATTAAATTCATTAGTAACGAGGTATAGTCTTTTACTAATTCTGGTGAGTCTTCATTTATAAGCTTTTTTAGATGTTCAATAATATTGTGGTAAAGGATTTTCCAAAAGTGTGTTTCAATATTTTCTCTTTGGCAAAATTTCATGTCTGATTTTAAAAGCTCTTTTAATGAATCTTTTAAAAACTCCCTTTAAATAAAAATATAATATTTATCAAACTAAAAACGTATAAATATTTCTAAGTGATTTGAGTCTTGTACAAACCTGCATGAATTAATTATTGGCCAATTTTGAAGCATATTTGGTTCAAAAACTAAATTTCCTATAATAGAATCAGCTTTTTTTATATCCAATAACAAAACTGGATAAATTGAAGCACGGTAACTAAAATTTAAAACTATTATTAACACACATGATTATAAGTTTTAAATTATTTAAATGGCCCTACATATAGTTGCGGGGGAAAGGATTCATCAAACCTCACCCAATTTTATTTTCAGATTATCAATGCAAACTTAGAAATTTAGCATCACTTTTTATCAAAATAATATACACCCCCCCTCTCTAAAACTGTTCAGAGTACAGCCTTGTTTAAATATTTATTTTTTTTAACAGTACCTTTCTGTGTATGGATCATACCAAGCGGGCGGTGCACTACCATAATGTGCACCTGAGTATTGTTGAGCATTTGCATTGTTAATATTCATTGGAAAATGTTCTTTAGCATGATGTGGTTCTATATTGGCAGGTGGATAACCAGCTCTGACATTTTGTTGTTTAGGAGATATCACTATTGGTTTATTCGGGTTATTTGGATTAAATAACTGTTTTGCTGGATACGAAGATTGGTTAGTTGTGGTTGTAACTGTCTGTTTTAAATAACCACTTAGACTAAGTGACTTGCTATCAGTAGAATTGACATTTACATTAGGTGGTAGTTTTATAATACCACCAATATTTTCTGATTTATGTGGTGCAGATTTTTCACTGTTATTTCTATAATCAAAAACAAAAATGTTATGCATATAAAAAAAGTAAAAACAATGTTTATAAAACTAACCTGTTCCTACGATTTCGAGAACGATTCCTCGATCGGTCATTGCTACAATTTCTAATAGATTTAGATTTTTCTTTTCTCCAACTTCCACCATTGCTATTTAAGTTTTCAGAATTATCATTACTCTGAGAATGCCAGTTAGAGTGAGTACTGCTAGATGGTTGGTCACGTAGAGGTAATGTATTTATACAATTTCTATCCTTACTGACACTCCTAATTAAAATATATGATTATTAAATTAAAATTTGCACATGAGCCATATGATTTGATTTATCACTTACTTCCTCTGTTTTCTATCTCTAGGAGAACTTGATGTCTTTTCAACAGTTTCTAATCTCTCAACTTCTTTTTTTGAATCTTCTGCCACTTTGGACATGTTTTCAGCTCGTTCCACTTCTTCAGCCCAATTCTATAAAAATGTTAAATGTTAAACATAAAACATTATTCTATAATATAGCTGTATAAGATAAAACTTACGATTGTACCACTAGGGAGTAAAACTGCACTTTCTATGGATTGCTTTGTACTAACAGAATAATTGTTTTCAGTATTATCCCTAGTAGTATGATCTACAGTTTTAGATTCATGATGACTACTATAGACTTTAGCAGGTAAACCAACACCTCGTTTACTTGATTCAGTTGAACTATTAACAGTATTAACAACTGCAGGTTGCTGTCTCCTAACTTCAGTCTTTGGTGGAGGTTGATTAGAATTAGTCCTATAAAATCCCTGTTCATGTCTTTGTGGTTCATTGAATCGACCCTTACCACTTCTTGGAGGTAATGTTTGACTTCTAGATTGATATGAACTGTTTTGTTTAAGTTCATCTTGAGATGGAAGTCCATTTGTTAACAATGCTTCTACTTCCTCCATAGAGATATGATAATCATCACAAAATTTTTTTCGCAATCTTGGAGGCAAATTTTCATAGTTCATTAAAAGCGCAGAATGTATTGGTTTACTAGGCACTTTTTTTTCTTCTCGTTTCTTACTACTGAAACTATGTGTCTTATCTGGGATATTTTGTACTGAGTTAACACGTGTATTAATATTCTTGGTAGGTATAATATCACTCGGAGTTATGATTTTTTCTGAAACAGCTGGTTTTTCATCAATTTTTTTAACCACTTTAGGAACAATCACTACATTAGGTGCTTTATGTGCTCTCCAATTATTATCATCATCACCTTTGGAATCGTTGGGATTTACAAAGTTTACTCGTGGTCGATCTGATCGTTTATCACTACTCCATTCATTAGGTGGCTCATAAAATAGTTGTGTTTTCTTTTGCTGTTTCCGTTTTAAATTGAATGTACTGTAATTATCAGCAGCCACACCGTTCATCTTTTGACCTCTCGGAAAATTTTCTTTTTTTCTACTTGGATTTTCAAAATGTTTGTTTGGTATAAAATCACTCTTCTTGGATGATTCAAGGTCACGATCAAATCCAGACCGTTTATCATCATCTTCAACATCTTGGCGAGAATTACCACTTCGTTTTAATGGTCCACTTCCAGGCCTGTATATTTCTACTTCCCTAGGAAACTTGTCCTTCCTTCCAAATTTATTACTCGAATCATCGCCTATATTAAAAAAATTGATTAAGGAAAATTAAAATTAGAAGTAGGTATGCACATAAAACTATCAACATAAATTTCAAAATGTTCAATATTTAATAAATACATAGGTACTAAAAAAAATACATTTTAAATTAATTAACAATATTCAAGTAATTTTTACTTATTGATAGACATTTTACAAATTGCAAGTTAAGTTTATATTAAATGTATGTTTGTTTACTAAGGTTAGATTCTGAAAGGAACTATGAATTGATTGTACGTTAATGAGTGTGATTTTTACTTCTATTCTCAAGTTTTAGAAAATAAAAATAAAATGTAATCTACAACCTTCCTTTCTAATTGGTAATTTTGAGAGTCAAGAGTAGAAACTTCTCAAATTTCCACAAAATAAATGTTGTTTTTTTTTGTAGTTCAAAAAGAAAGAACTGTAGGGACTTGAAATTTTCTTGAAATAATTAAATTAACTTTTCCTAGACATGATATAAATTTAAAAATATTTTGGCACTTTCCGAGCTATTTATAAACAGTTGCAAAATTCAGACTTTAATCGATTTATAACATATAAAAAGTTTTTTACCAATCAAAAAACTAATTTAATTCAATGTTTTCTATATTTTTTTCTTGCAACAATTCTAAAATATCAAAAATGTCTATTGGTCACAATTTCATTTTTATAATCATTAAAAGTTTATGATGAATAAAATGAAAGAAAAAAAAGATTATAGCTAATTTTACAAATATTTGTCTGATTATAACTAACAATTATCTTATTGACAGACTGTTACACGAGGAAGTGCAAGATAATTCTTGTTTACTTGATGTACCCAAGTATTTGACAAAAAATTGTAATGAATGAATAAATATTCATAGGAGAGTAAAAATAATAATTAACAGATATAAATAAAACAACCAAAATCAGACCACAACCTATGTGTTTATAATACAAAAATAAACTACTAAAAACCCTTATTATTATATTATTACTTTTTTTGTTTTGTTCAATTTAAATATAGAGATCTCAAGAAACTGAGTTCCAAAAATAAATATGACTCATTAAATTTGTAAAGCCTGAATGATTATGAAGTACAACCGGCCAGCAATTCACACAGAATATACATGGGCAGTCTATAAAGACAACATAGTTCAAAATTACATGAAGTAAAATGATACAATGGTTATCTCAGAGACCAGAGTAAACAAAAACTAAAATGCTAACTCGTCGGGACTGTGAAAAAAAGTTATCGAAATGTCACCGAATTTAAATTTTAAAGAAAAAAAAAATAACAAGTACGTTTCCGAGGAAAACTAGCTTCGCCTTCGCGCGGCCTTCAAAGGGTGAGGACACTATGTCTAAGGTGGAGAGGAACAGTCTCAACAGATTAAACGGCATTTGTGGTTTTCAGAGAAATTCAAAACGGCTTAAAACGCATATGGCCTCCACGCATCGGGACATTGAGTTTCGAACGGTAAAGCGCGGTACCGGATTCATCAAACTCACCTATGGACATACGCGACAGATCTCCATCAAGATTGGCCATGGTCAGGACTATAATAAACACAACTTCATTACTTCCGTACGACGAGTCTTCGATAAAATGGTCGAGGAAAATACGTACTAGACAATCGAAAATAAATATTAATATTGTTATTGTCGGCAACCGGACGAATTGAATGCGAATCGTATTATTATTTTTTTTTTTACTCATTAGTCGTTGTTTGCGCATAAACAAAAACAAATGGACATGTCTTATCAAAAGTAATGCAACGAGTGCCTTTATCACAGATCGTGGAAAAGCGTAACGGGTGCTGCAGTGCGGCCGGGCCGGGGGAATCCACGGCTGCCCAAAACAACGCACAAGCCATCACTTCCCGCTTTATTTTGAATATACCGTTGTTCGCTGATTAGCATAATAATATTGTAGTATTTTTATTTGGTTGCGGGAAGACGAAAAAAAGGTCAACTCGTCAAATATGTGCTCAATGTATTAAATAAGACAAGTTTATCAATAAAAAAATATCAAAAAAATTAATAATTGTAAGTGTTTGTGATTTTGACAAAATTCGGACTTATAAAAAAAATATGTGACTCTTTACTTTTAATGTCTCCAAACACCCAGCTATAAGAACAACTTATGAAGAACTTTATATAACACTTTTAAGCTTATCAACCAAGAACTAAAATTTCAATAGTAAATGTATCAAATTCATTTTACATATTTTGAACATTTAACCAGGGCTTAAATCAAAAAAAAATAATACCGTTTACCGTTATATGGATATCAAACGTTATGACCAAATTACTGTTTAACGTTATATGATATTAAACGTTATGATCGATTTAGCGTTTAACGTTATATGATATTAAACGTTATGATCGATTTATCGTTTAACGTTATAAAGAATTTAAACGTTTATAAAATGTTCCGTTTAACGTTTAAACGTTTTAAATATTAATTATTTATAACTTTTAAACTTTATGAAACACTAGTCTTGACTCTTGAAAAATTGGGGAGGGTTATATTATAATACTAATTATAACTTACTCATTACTTTTGTTTGTTACTACTAGTAACTTACTAGTTACTTCAAATTTATATTTTATAATTTAGGTATAATGAAATATATATATAAATATTAAATTGCAAGATAGGTACACGATGACACAACACATCATAAATTCATAAGTGATATATTATAATAACTAATAAGTATTTGTGATTATAAATTAAAATTCATAAGTCATAACATAAAACTATAAAAGTACCAAAGAAAGAATTTTAATAAGATAAAAATAACTTCTTAAATCTTAAGTGGAGTCACACGGTTGACTATGACTCCCATAGAATTCAGTTTGATTCATAAAAAAGTGCAAAACAAAAATTGTGTGGTTCTAGTGTTCTACACTTTCTTGTTCGATTGTGTCATCCAATTTCCAACTAGGTCCCACTTCAGGACCGCACATGTCTCCTCTTTGAGAAGGGCCAGAAGGGGAGTAGTATCATTATGCATATAGTGTGATGTATTATAAATACAATATACAAATATGAATAGATCTTATGATCTCCCTAGTCCCTACTAGGTACCCATTTGATATGAGCATTGACAAAGACCTTGAGAACATTTCAATGAACAAATACAGAACAAAAATTATCTTAAGATTTGGGAATGGTAAACAAGCTGACCCCGCGCAGAATACCCCACCATCGACTTGGAACCATTTTCATTATATTGGTAACCTTTGGGTCTAACATTATGTTAGTGCACCGAACCATTTCCTTGTTTTTCGGAGGTTCAGACTTCAGATCGTTGAGAACCAAGACCCAATCAGCTGATCGAGTTTCGCTTCTATATTGTTCTATGGCATTACCATCTCAGGTTAATACTTAATCACCGTGATACTATGATGGTAGTTACCTCAGTTTGTAGTATTTGTACTTGATATGCATTGCATTTGCATATAACTTGCTGTCTTAAGAATCTAATTTCCGAGGACATTATTGGTTTTTATTTTTGTTTATTCTTCGCGTCGGGATTTATGTTTTTCTCAAAATAACGAAGTTTTCTATAGGTACCTATAATAAATTAGGTAATAAACGTTATTTATAAAAAGTAACAATAAGTAATAACAATAATATTGGTACCATAATTATTATCATTATTGTTACTTTTTATAAATACATTACTAAGAAATGTAGAATCCGTTGAACGGGTTTAATACTATTTACCCAGACATTATTTATAAATATTTTCTACTTTTGTAAGAAAGCCTAAATATAATTGATAATGCGTATTATTTCTTTGAAATATTTATGGCTATTTTAAACGTTCATAGTTCCATGTACATTTAATTAATTTTGATTAGTACCTAATATCATTGATTATAAATACCTACGCCCAGTGAGCAATCTATAGTATTTATAATCAATGCTAATATTAAAGTCACTTTATTATTATAGTCCTATCAAGCAACAGTTCTACAAAACTAACTAAATTCTAATTATATTCTATAGATAGTTTTTAATATTTTCGTAATTTCCTTTGTTGTCTGATATGTTTGTTATGATTCAACATTTAATCGTTAATCGTTTTTTGTTGCGTTATTCGATATTAATTTTAATCGTTTATCGTTTCTGTTCCGTTATCCGTTATCCGTTTCAATCGTTTATCGTTTACCGATATGTTATCCGTTATTCGTTTCAATCGTTTGTCGTTTACCGATATGTTATCCGTTATCGATTTCAATTGTTTTTTGAATCGTTTAACGTTATACTCGTAACGTTATGAAAACGTTTTGAAGCCCTGCATTTAACAGTCAATCGAAAATGTTAATGAATTGTTTCTAGTTTCTATGATTAATAAATTTTGAATAATAAAAAAATAACAAAAAGTCTCAATGAAAAATCATTATTTTTTGTAAAAATAATCAATAAGATAAACATTTGGCTTCAAATGCTCATACTTTAAAAAAATATGCTACTTTTCGCCAATGTTTTGTTTAATTTCAATGAACAACCTTATAAAAATTTAAAATTTAGCTTAAAATCACATACTGATATCTTTAGTAGTGTTAAAATTGGTATTTATTTTGCTATAATTAAAAAAATATTGTTTATAAAAACTTTAAACATTCTGCTATTAGATAAGTATCTACTTCGGAACTCAAACACGGGTGGGCGGGGACAGGGACAATTATCACCTGAGTTACACCCACCCGCTGGCACCACTCAAAAAAATTAATTAATAAAATACTCCACTTGGTAATGTAGAGTTTAATAGGTAACGTACGAGGCGTCAGGCGTATGTTCTAAGCCGACCTGGAACAGAACGAACTTAGGGGAGTATTAAGCATTTACATATAGTCACGGTAAGCACTTATCGGCGACGGCATTTTTTTTTATTTTTTAGACCTAAGACTTAATAAAATTTTGTTTTATGGTTGTTCAGTGGGTACATTTTTTTTTTTAAATGGTTTTTATAATTATTAATTATCAATTATTACGTCGGTGAACTGCAGTTGACCGCAGCTGATAATTATTAGAATTACAAATGTTGTCGTAAAAAACCGTTTGCCGATAAATTTAGTTAGAATGATACGGTGTGATTACAGGTCGAGATAAACTTAGAGCTCAGAATAGTTTATCGTCTTGCAGCAAAATTAAAAACAATAAGTCAGGCATATGACTTATTTTGCAACCAATTTATGGTGAATGGTGATAAATAAATGTGTGTCTTTAAACATTTCCGACTTCCAAAATGAAATATAATGCTAAAAAATTCATAAGAACATATAAAAATTATTTAGAAGATTCTTTTGCGTTAGAATTTATTCATTTTAAATTGTATTTAAACACTAGTAAAAATCGTATTGTTAAGAATAACACAGCCCCTTTAGATTTATATAAAATAATACGTGAAGATGATCTTATACTGATGTGTATGTTGAAGATATTTCAAGATTTATCAAACATTCATTATTTTATTCATTTTAAGGAACTATACAGATAATTATGGACATTTACAGATAATAATTACTTTCCATAGTATATATTTCCATATGCATGCATACTTTTAAACTCGTAATACATTTAGTTTCATTTTTAAAGTATTATTTAGTTGAATAAATATTAATAATGTAGTTACTTGCTGTTTGCATATATTTTTTATAGTCATAAATTATATTCATTTATATTATCTAAAAAAAATATACCTAATTCATAATTAAGAAAATTGTATGGAAACTAGACATTTTTTTGTACAAAAATTAAAAATTTAAATAAATAATAATTTATACTGTAAACAGTGTAAACTTCAAACATGCATTTTTTAGAAAAATTATTCACACAAGTTCCCACTTGCTCTGGTATTCGCTCAAATTTTATAATCAGTAGGCTCTACCGCCAAAATGGTAAATACGCCCCTGTATAAAGATTTTAATAGACATATTCAGTATGCACATAGATACATTCATATTATTATCTACATATTGTTTTGTGTATAAAATTTGTTCTCCGTGGGAAGGGGGGAGGAGGTTGTGATTTGACTCCAATATCCACCCGGCCATTGTAGATACGCCTCTGAAACTAAATAGTAAATACTATTATAATCACTGACGCTGCAAAGTTGTGGAAATTATTATGTTACATATTATATTTATGAATTTATTACAAAAAAAAAAAAAAATATATTGATTAACGTGCACTATTATGAACATATTATGTGTTTGAAATGTTATGTACAATATTATCAAAACACGCGTGTAATTGTGAAATAGTATGTACCCACACTTACGTACATGATTATGTAATAACTAATATATTATTGTAATATTATACGTGATTAATAATATAGGCAACATGATGATACCTTAAAAAAAACAATAATCTCACAAACTTATTATTTTTTTTTTACCTTGAAAATTGATATTACATTAGTCTGTCCATATATTATATAGGTATAGTATATACCATTACAAACTAATTTTTCTATTCTATTTTGTCATGCTATATATACTGGCATTTATGATAACATAACATTTAGGGCCCGTCCAGATTTGACGGCTTTTTAGAGTTCGGCACGGCCGCGCGTTTGCGTCCGCCGCTTGCCGCAAGACAAATACGTGTCCAGTCGATGCGCCCGATGCGGCATATATTTTTCGATTGTAATGATTTAAAAAATAATTTAAATATTAAAAATGTATCAAAATAAGTACTTTTGTTTTACGTGGTATCGATAACCGGAGGTGAAACTGCTATTGACATTGTTTCGCCTAAAATTAAAATAAGTACTGATGCTACGCGGCACAAGGGGTTCGGCTTTTCTTTGACGTAAACCACCTAGTAGACTGATAAGTGATCAGATATTTTGCCACGTGGCATCCAAAAACCCGCAAAAACGATTTTTTGACGTCGTAATCATGCAAAAAGCTGCTATTTTGTTGTCACAAGTCGAGCTCTCTACATCATCTTCTCCAAAATAAAATTTGAAAATTAGTCAAATCAAATTATTACGCTTAACCATAATCTCCATAAGTGCAACTGATGCAGAGGGTTCTTAGCATCCTCAAATATTTTGCTAAATCACCACCAAATAATTTGATTCATTATATATGTACTATGTGTATTAATTTATATAACGCATTAATGCGGTGAAAAAAATTGTTGGTAGACTAGCATAACACAAGAACGATTTTCAAACTCATCACTGTTGAATTTATTTCAATATTTAACAAATCAATTAAAACAGAAGACAAAAAATTGCTTTAATATGGATAGTTATAAATTATAATCATTAATCTTTTATTTTAGTACCTATAATTGGTTATCATTAAAAATATTGTGATTAATAGAATAAAGTAATTTGTATAGTAAGCTTTGTAATATAATTTTAGCACTTTCAAAATGTTAGGTCTAAAATTGCGCTTATGCAATAGATGTATTTCATTTTATATAGTTTGTGTTATGCTATAATCGATATTTTTGCACGATAAAAAAAGAAAATGCGTACGGTTGCAAAAAGTTGGAAGTTAATAGCAAAAATCGGTACAAGTCTTGCGCAGTTAAATACTTATATATCATCCAGTGTCTGGAGGGGATGGTACATATATTACATGTAATACCTAAAATATACTTCCGACTTTCCGAGTTTTTTTTATACAATGTTTGCGCTTGTGCCTGTGGTTTTACATAGGTAACAAAAACCTACTTACAATTTTCTTCACTAAGCTACCAAACCATACCAAGAACTTCATATCTAAGTCTACAAACAGGGCTCAAACATAAAAAATTGAGTGTTTATGGAGACACTTAAAAGTAAAATATAATGTAAGGTAACGTGGAGCAAGACACCTACTCGGCAAGCAAATACAGGAAGAATGGAGGCATTCAGTCAATCTGACCAATGTCTTCGAAAGTTTTTTAAGAGACATTATAAAAGACTCTTCTGTATAGAGTACATTTTTGTCTGAGACTGAGCATCAGTTATGGATTAATCTTATTATACTGTCTTAATATTAATTATGATTAAAATAATTTACGTTTATTATTGCAGTGACGACTAAAATAAAAAGCAAAATATAATTTTTTTATTATTTCAATAATTTATGTTATTTTTATATTATTATTTATTATTTATACAATAGATTTTGAATGGAGACAATGTGACATAGTACACTCACTTGCACTGCATCCTTTTGACTGCAGCACGTTAAGTTTATAATACTGTTAGTACTTATTTACTTATTATGTAGGAAATAAAAATAAATATTAATATACAGAAAAATACTTTTACTATAGCGTGATGGGCGTAGAAAATAGACTTAGGGTGATACAAATTATAGTACCTATATGCGTCAATAGTATAGACGTAAAGTAAAGTATATTAGATTATTAGGTATATTATACTACCAATATTACTAGCTATTATATAACATAAAAAAGTTTTTATATTGATCATAATATCATGTATGTAACCAGGTAGCTGGTATATAGGTGTTTGTGTGTAAACATTATAAAACTTGAAGAATATACTCGAAAAATCGTTTGCAGTCATCTGCAGCATGACAATATTTTCATCAATCGACGAAAATTCTTCTCAGCATAGTTTCACACTATCAAGGCTACAAATGCCTACAGTGCGTCAGTGCGTGTAGTAAAGCTGCTTGAAAAATACGTATTTATTAATTTTTTTCTAGTCTCGAAGTTCGACGTCGTTGAGTGGGTGAGGTCTTTTATGCCATAAATCGTAATCACGTGTCTGACCTCTATTTTGTCTGATGATTTTAGAGCACACTTAAGATAACTAATATTAGTCGTAATAAAAAATACACAAACGGTTATGTAGGGCACCACTACTCCCCGATTACTAGGTGCTTAACACTGCAGCACCCGTCCAATCTATACGGCAGTTGATAACAGTATGGTATCATGGTGTAATATAGATCAGTGGTCACTGATTTATACTGCTGCACTGCAGTCTATATGCGTAATATAAAATCAACAATATTGTACATAATATTGTATGCATATATATAATTTAATTACAGACGTTTTGTATTCCCTCCACAAATAGATTATATCATCTCGAAAGCTAATTTAAGAATGAGAAAAAAACCGAAAAGTATTACGTTTTTGCCGTTTGTAATTCATATTATAGCGGGATCCAGTACAATTCATTATACACCCGTAGGTGTTCCTTGTGACAAGTCACAATAATTGAGTTAGGTACCTAAATCATTTCGTAACCATGATTTCGTACCTGACCAATTGGCTGTTTGACTACATCTTTCTGAGTTTGATTATTGTTTGTACGTTCCTTTACTATTATACGACGTCGACGTACGATACATGGAGGAAATTAAATGTGCCGTTCGCAAGGCCAGTGCCCTTTTTCGGGAATATATTCAAAATGTTTACGGGCTTAGAGCACCAAGTAGACGCGTTCGGACGAATTTATCAACAGTTTCCCAATGAGAAATTTTGCGGTTTCTATCAAATGAGCACACCGTTTTTGATGCTTCGCGACCCGGAGTTGATCAACACGGTGATCATCAAAGACTTTTCATATTTCACCGACCACGGAATTGACATGAACCCTTCGGTGAACGTAATGGCGAGAAGCTTGTTCTTTGCGACCGGACAAAAATGGAAAACAATGAGACAAAAACTGAGTCCGGGATTCACTTCCGGTAAGCTCAAAGGTACGCACGAACAGATCCGAGAGTGTAGCGATCAGTTGACAAACTGTATTTACGAACAATCCAAGGAAACCGATGCCATCGAAGTATACGAACTTGTCGGCAATTTAGCCACCGACGTGATTGGTACGTGCGCTTTCGGCATGAAATTGGACACAATTAATAACGATAATTCGAGCTTTAGACAAAACGTAAAGAAAGTGTTCAAACCCAGCGGTAAAGTAATATTCGCTCAAATACTTGGAGTGCTATTCCCGAAAATCGTAAAGTTCTTAAAACTTCAAACTTCTCCAGTGGATGTAGATGCTATTAATTTTTTTCATTCAGTGTTCGGCGAAGTCATTGAGTACAGGACCAAAAATGATGTGGTTAGAAACGATCTAACACAAACCCTAATGAAAGCGAGACAGGATTTGGTGATAAGCAGTGACTATAAGGGAGAAGGTAAGAATAAAGATTTTGAAAGATTAATGATAACTTATTATAGAAACATAAAAATCCTAATAGTTTATTCGAGTTTCGGGTTTTGGGTGCCGGGTATATTCGGGTGTTCAAACACCGGAATAAAAAAAAACTAAGCAAACTTTTGGGTGCAATAACCGTCGTGATTCGGGTTAATATTGATTAATAGGGGTGTTGAGTAATCTAAAAAAAACATAATTTATAAAAGTTATTTTTATTAGGTATTTTTCTAAAATTGTTATTGTTTTAATTAAATTTATATTTTTGGTATTTGGTCTCTATCAATACGACAATACAGTACCTATAATGTGTTTGTTGATACTAGACCAGACCCGGTCTACACGAGACGTCCATGGACACAACATGTGTGTGAACACGTCAATATTTCATATTGTCATTGACTGTATTTTGATTTATCCTAATATCAATTATGATTGAAATTATTTAATATACGGCTATTTAATCAGAATCAAACGATGGAATTAGATTTTAATTTAAAAATAAAATATTTATAGTATTTAGCTATAATTAATATTGTGAACACTGTCTTATTATTAATTATATTACTAAGGAAATATAAAACAACTAGCACAAAATTGAACTAACCACGTAAAATAAATCAAAACTAATAGCACGCTATTGAATCTTATAAACGAAAATTTGGTATTTCGTACGTGTGTAAGACGGAGACAACAAATGTGTCCTCTTAACATAATGTTCATCACACACTATTATCGTACATATTATGTGATAATCATCATAAGTATTTAGACTATTAATAATTATAAATTTTATATTTATTTATAGAAAAGTATTGTGAATTGGATATAATTGCAAATGCAATGTTGTTGTTTACGGCCGGTTCTGAAACTGTAACTGCCACAGCATCTTTCTGTTTTTACGAATTGGCATTGAATAAAGATATCCAAGACAGATTACGTGCCGAAATAATATCGTCAAAAATAAAACACGGAGGAGAGCTGAATAGTGAATTTTTGGAAGATCTTCATTACGCCGATATGGTTTTAGACGGTAATAAACATACGTATAAGTATTTAAATACCTATTAATAATAAATCATCTTGTAGAGTTTTGACGTAGATACACTCTAGTTTGAATTATATTTTTTTAGTAACGTACTACATTATGTTATTTCAGAGACTCATCGTAAGTATACCATAATTACCGCCCTGTTGAGAGGAGCTACACAAAATTATAACGTACCCGGAGAGTCATTATTGATTGAAAAAGGGCAAAAAATTTTAATACCAATTTATAGTATACATCACGATCCAAAGTATTATCCAAATCCCGATACTTTTGATCCGGAAAGATTTACTGCGGAGGAAAAATCTAAGCGACCAAATGGTACATTCTTACCATTTGGCGATGGACCTCGCCATTGCATAGGTATATTGATATTCCATGTATGATTAATGATTATACGAGATATAATATACACAACTTTACTCTCCATTCATCATTTTTAATTATGCAATATTGAATTTTATTTATAAATGATAATATGTATTTTTGCAGGAAAACGTTTCGCTGAACTGGAATTGAAATTAATTCTATCAAAAATATTATCGAAATTTGAAATTTCACCTTGTGAAAAAACGGAAATACCGCTGCAAATGAAAAAAGAACGTGGAATAACTTCACCAAAAAACGGAATTTGGTTAAATTTTAGGACGATTGTGGATTAATACTTCATAATTTATCTTAATATAAAAAAAATTGACTTCACATTTTAAAAAGTAACTAAAATAATTTTTTTTTTGTTTACGTTGTTGATACAATGATATATTAATATTATTCCTACATAATATTTGATTGCTTTAACTTGGATATAATTAAGTATTTGTTCAATATTTATAAATTGCACGTTTTTAATAATTACATTTTATAGATCGAATAAATAAGTTATTTATGACGTACCTATTCGAATTCGAAATAACATTAATTTAGAATATAATAATATTGTATGAATATATTAAAATATCATGATGACATGCAGTTACTCATAATATTGAAATTTGATGTAATATTGTGATAATATTTTATGGCCAATGGTTTTATGTGACTACATTGTTATGTTATGTGTGTCTACAGTTCTAAGTCACTGTCTGTTGAAGATGTTTTCAATTCATGATCACACTATCAGAGGTGCATTTGGAAATTTGCACCCTGGGGCAATATATATTTTAACCAACACTACCCTCTCAAAAAAAAAAAATTAAAACAACACATGTAAATTGTTGAGGTTAAAGTGTAAACACTTTTCCTCCAAACGGTCTTTTTACTATTTTTCATCATTTATAATAATACAAATTTACAATCTCCTGAGTGTTTCATTTGCAGCAAAAATATTAATAACATGATTATAATTAAGTTATGTTGTAATGTCATTTTCAATTTTTATAGGAGTTGCAAAACTCCTAACCGATTTGTATGTGAACCCGATTTATGTAAATTAGGTATTATCATGTTCAAATTGTTTCATGTTTTGGTAGATACCTAGAGGCTAATATTACTTTAGAACAAATTACAAAATTATAAATTTTATAATAAAAATATACAATGTGTATAGTGTATATATATTATGTATAGATTGATTTATTTTTTTATCATAAATATATTCGAAAATTGCCAACCATTTAAATTTGTCTCCGGGAAAAATTATTTCGCCTTTCCTCCCTAAATGCGCTCCTGCATATTATAACAATCTTAATACCTATATGTTATGTGATGGGCCCCTCTCAATAGGTTCTATTATACAAAACAAATAAAATATGTGTGTGGCAACTAAAATTGTCTTGTCTGATTATGACTGGCAAACAAATTGCCTCATCCCCGGTACATGTTATTATACCATACGTCACAGATAATAATATGTGGATTATACAAGTGCACAAAAACCAATAATTGCTAATCCAATGTAAGTTATATTCATTATTCGTAAAACAATAACAACTACATTTTGTAGATCTATATTAGGTATTATAATATCGTTATAGTGATACAAGCTATAATATTAGTATAGGTAGATATAGTTACTATTAAAATGTTACGATTGATTTACAAATTAAAAAAAGCATGTAGAATTAAATTGATTTTATCTGTAAAAAAATACTTGACTATTGTGATAATTTAGATATTAATGAGTAAATCACGAATGGCTCCTGGTTTTTGTTAGTTGATCAAGAAGATCAAGAAGGAAAGGATGTTTTAGAATTCTAGATGCTCATGCCATCACAGCATTATAGACAAAAATAAATTAAATTAATAACCATTATAATCTATATAACCATTATTACGAAACTAAAATAATATTTTTCTGTCTTAGTCATATTATATGTTGTTGCATTAACTGAGTATTTGAGTACACAAACAATACATGTTTAATATTTAACACAATCGTTATTCGTTATGGAATAAGTTGTAGATGTTCAAAGTGTCAGAGGTAGCTCTAGGGGGGCCTCTCTCAAGCCTGTAATGTTTCTAAAAAATTGTATATTTCTAAAACTAAAATTACAAAAAGAAACATAGTACAATATCAAAAGTTTTTTGGACATTATGACTTAGCCCCATCCCCCCCTCATTCATGTCTCTGGAGCCACCCCTGCAAGTGAGTTATATATCAGCAGATCTTCAGGATTATTTCAAGTCACAAATATTGTATCACGTCTCTGATGTTTTTTATATTTCAGGTAACGTCATACTGTTTATAAATATACTTTAAATTATGCACTTCAAGTGGAACATAGATGATCAATGAACAAATATGTAATAATCTAAGAAGAAAACATTAGTAAATATGCAAAACGCCTTGATTGTTTTTATCTCGGGTTAAATAAATTAACTTAAATACATAAAAACTATTAAACCGGAAAAAATTAGAAATGGCCTACGATATGCTGTGATAGCAGTATAATATACGTAGGTACTAGTATTACTTATTAGAGTAATCCCCGTATGACCGTATGAGAAATATAATAGCTATAGACTTGATAGTTATCCACCTATAGCTATAAAAAATAGGTATCATAGATTTTTTTTTCCGTTTGAACCGACAGCAGAGGAGGATCTGTGTAAACACTACTACTCCTAAGGTATCATAGACTTATCTGATATCGATATAATATAATACAATTTTTAAAAATGAATCATACAATTTCGTTTCATGCTTATTATAGTGATTGTACCCTGACCTAATGGCGCGTACATACTAGCGTAACAAAACGGAGAACTTGTAACCCATAACAGTGTTCGTATGTCATCATTTGCGTGTAACAAACCACCGATCCGCCGAATGTCGGTATTTTGGCGAAACATCAAAGGGTGATACTCGTTCACAGAACATTATCAATGTTGTTTATTACTATGTCTGTTGTCTGTAAATAACGATATTAAAGTCCATTGATAAATTAAATCTATCTGCAGTAGCTAAGCTGAAAGACAAAACAGACAATCTGGTATAGATAAGTATATAGGCATAGGTACTTAACGTTAACAGTTAACATAGCTACTATAAATATGTAAATGTGTAGACAATTTCAATACTAACCCACAGTTCATTCAGCCAAGTTACTATGGTCGCCAATAAAAATGATTTCGCATTTAATAAATTCGTTATTTGATCCCGTCATCTTAAGTCTGATTAGCATTTGTACGTTACTCCACTTTATTATTCGACGTCGACTTACGACAAATGGAAAAAATTTAATGTGCTCCATACAGATCCAGTACCTCTGTTCGGAAATACATTCAAATTGACAATTGGCTTAGAACGACAAGTAACATCGTTCGGACGAATTTATCAACGATTTTCCGATGCAAAAATTTGCGGTTTTTATCAGACGAGAACTCCGTATTTGGTGATTTGCGATCCAGAATTGATCAACACAATTATGATCAAAGATAAAGAATTCTCGTATTTCACTGACCACGGTCTTGGCAGTGACGAGTCGACTACATAATGGCGAGAAGTTTGTTTTTTTCCAAAAAATGGAAAACTATGAGACAAAAACTCAGTGCGGGGTTCACGTCGGGTAAGCTCAAAGGAACACACAAACAAATCCAAGAGTGCAGTGATCAGCTGTTGAAGGATATCAACAAGGAATCCTGCAAAAAGGAAGCCAACGGTATAGAAGTGTACGAAATTGTAAACAATTTGACCATCGACGTGCGACGTCATTGGAACTTGCGCTTTTGGTATGAAATTGGACACCATTAACAGTGAAAAAAACTTAAACTTCAAAATATACGTAAATAAATTATCGAAACCCGGCAGTAAAATAATTTTCTTCCAAAACCTACTCGGAATCCTGTTTCCGAAAATCATAAGGTTGTTGAAAATTCAAACAATTGACATCGATGCTACTAATTTTTTTCATTCAGTGTTCAGAGAAGTCATCGACTATAGGACTGATCATAATGTTGACAAAAACGATATTGCACAAACCCTGATGAAAGCGAGAAATGACTCGGTGTTAAACAGAGACTCAGCTGTAGACGATGGTGACGGTAAGTCATAACATTTTGATAAATGATTGACAATTATATGTGACAATAAAGGATAACGTATATTTATTTATTTATTTACCGCCCAGGAGCCCAATTTATTATAATTATTCACAAACATTATTAAATCTAATGGATGTTAATATGTGAAACACATGCCCAACTTTTACAATTCGTTGTTTAATATGTTATTCAGCTGTTTTAAAAATTAATATAATTTTATGGAGTTTAACTTTTAAACTATTTATTGATTTTATTCCTAAAGTCGCAGAAAACTATTGCGAATTGTATTTAAATGCGAACGCGATGTTATTGTTTGCCGCTGGTACAGAAACTGTAGCTGCCATAGCATCTTGTTGCTTATACAAGTTGGCTATGAACAAAGATATTCAAGACAAACTTCGTGCAGAGACAATCTCGACAAAAACAAAATGTGGGGGAGAGCTCAACAACGCATTTTTGGGGGATCCTCATTATGCCGAAATGGTTATAAACGGTAATGCATATAGGTATATACGCCATCGTGTACATTTTACCGATATTATTTTGAGATATTTTTGAGTATGTTTATTTTAGATTGTAACTTTAGTACCTATAGATGAACAATATTAATTAATGTTTATGGTACTGTGTTCCTAATTATCAACTTCGTTGAATAAGCCTAACCAACAATTTTATTTTCAAATTATAATAATATGGTATTGTATAATATAAATAATTAAATTATTTATAGTAGATATATGAAAATAATATGTACTTTCTACTTCTTATAGATGCTCAAATAATCGGTATATTATATTAATAATATTATAATCATCTTAGGGACTGCTTCCCATTTTGTACGTCTCTACCAAAAAATATCCTATTTATTATTTGAAATATATTCGAAATTTGAATATCATATGCTGTACATTTCCCAACGTAGACATTATATTACAAATATACTTGTCAATGTCAATATGCCAAGCACGAACACATTGTAGAACTGAACGTCCATTTTCCGCACTTGAACATATGAATGTTTAAAACTCGCATGAGGTCGTCTTTAACTCAAGAAAGACGGCAGGATTCATTATCATAACTGGGAAATGACAATCAACCGGGGTATTACCAAATAATTAACATTTAATGACGTAATTTGCTAAATTTGCAAAAAAAAACCTAGAAAAAATGTATATATACTAATGTGTATTGTAAATTGTAATATTGTTGTAATACATTTATATATAATGAATTATGTTGATATTAATTAATACATTTTTCATTTTTATCAAAATGTTTGATTAAAAAGGGCCCTCAAAGTTAATAGTGCGCAGGGCCCCTATTTGATATTTCTCTCGAAATCAGAGCCTGGGCGTCACAGCTTTATAAAACAATGGAGCGTCCAGGTTCTACATACAACTCAAAATTAATTTAATTACATAATGAATATTACTATCGTTATTGTATAGTATGTATATTTATATAATAACATTACCTTTCAAAAATACTAAATATTATACCTAGGTACTATTCCCAACTCAACAACAGTATACATAGTACATATTAGTAGGTACTGGCGGTATTTTAGAATACCAGTATACCGTATTTCGGTAATTACCGTTGTTGACAAAAATAATGTACCACTGTAATTACCGAAAATACCGTAGATACTGGTAGTAAACAAATACTGCGGATACCGGTATTCAAATTTAAAATACTGTTAGCCCTAAAATATATGAAATTTTTTAAATTAATTTTTCCTATTCTAAATAAATTGTAATATTTGTTCAGAGACTCTACGTAAGTACACCATAATAGCGACATTAACGAGAATAGCTACTCAGAATTATGAAGTACCCGAAGAATCATTATTAATTGAAAAGGGACAAACAATTTTGATACCAATATATTGTATACATCATGAATAATGATCCAAAGTATTATCAAAGTCCAGATACATTCGATCCGGAAAGATCAAGCGGAAGAAAAATCTAAAAGACCTAATAGTACCTTTTTACCGTTTGGCGATGAACCTCGTCATTGCATAGGTAAACATAAATAAATTATTAATATTATTAATATATTTATTTAAACCGGTATAAACTGGGTGATTCATTGATCATTGAACACTTATTATTTCAAAAAGTAAATACATGATTTTTAAAAAAAATGTTTACATGTTCTTATGATCTTTAAAAAACAACATTTTTAAAATATCTATATATTTTTTAATAATGTTTTGTAAAGACTAGAATCCATGTAAAAAAATATTTTCAAAAACATTAATACTTTGTGAATAATGGGTGTTTTGAATTAAGTTAATCACCTGTTATTCCAAATGCATGAATAAAATCTACGTAAAAATGTTCGAAAAAAAATGTAGAAAATCAAAAATGTTCGTAGTAAAATAGTCCAAAATAAACTGTTCTAGGCAAAGTTGTTTAGAATCGATAATTATAAGATATATATATTATATAAACAGACGAAAAAGATGTTATACACTTATACATTATACCTAACTATAAAAATGTATTTACAACATTGATTTACATATTTTTCTTTGACTTAATTTAACTAATTAGTAAAAATTAATAAACTATAATGTATATTATTCCTCTTTTATACCATTTCGAGTTTTAATACTTTCATTTTTTTTTTGACTGTGGGTATTTTTGATATATCAGACTATTTTAGTATTTGAACATGCACATTTTTAATTTAAAAAATTTCAGAGGACATTATTTAGTATAGAAATTTTCACCTCGAACTTTCTTGATTTCAGATATTTTTTCACGAACATTTTTAAATATTTTTTTCTCAGACATTTTTGTAAGGTAAGGCATGAATAATAAATAAATTCTGTAGTCTTCATTGATCATTATTCATGATGATATAATACACTATATTTATACCATATACTAATTCCATTTCATTTAAATTGAATTATTACATGAGAACGTTTTGCTGAATTAGAATTAAAATTACTTTTAATCGAAATTTGAAATTTTACCATGTGAAAAAACTGATATTCCTCTTATGTTTAAAACGGAACCTGGACTAATTGCACCAAAAAACGATATTTGGTTAAATTTTAAAACTATTGTAAGTTAATTAAAAGGTTAAAAACACTTTTAACTCTTACAAATAAATTATTTCAAAATGTAATATTTTTTAGTTGTGGGTATATGTTTTAATTTTTAAGTAATGTGTTATTATGCGTTTAGTACTTAGTTTTATTCCGTTTCTCGACACAAACAAAAACTATGTACTTTAACTATATTTAAATATTCTCTATATTCTCTATATTTTAAGATTCAATGATTAGTATTTATTTTATCTGTGATTATCAAACTATATTTTTTAATGGTTGGTCATTTGCTATATGTTGATGTACCTAAACTGTTTTACAAAATTTGCCTTTTATATTATATTATTGCAGAGTAAACATTTTTTTTCAAATGTCTTTGCTGAATTCAACATTTTTGAAAATACAATTTTTGGATTTATCCAGTTTAAACTTATCAATATAATATAGGTATATCGTATGTAACTACAAAATACAAAAATATAGAATCATCGCAAAAAAAAGATTTCATGGGTTTGTAATGAATGTTTAAATTATCTATATAAGTATCATGTTGTGATTTATGTCTTTCAAAGTTGACTATTTACTGTGAATTTGTATACGAATTAAAATATATGGTTACAAATTTTTAATCTTTGTTATTTGTCATTGCGTGTATACCCATATTGCCTGCCGCCGTGGTATTGTAAAAAACAACTTCAATGGTGTGTCGTTCAAAAATGTTCGACGATGGTGCTTATTTCTTATCTATATTAGTATAACTATATAACTTGTGTATAAATAGTCCCCATTCACCCAAAACACTGTCACCATGATTTTTGACTTTTTGTGAATGGTGCATATATATATATTGGGTAAATTATGTACATGCAAAATACCTCAATAATGAATAAATATATAAATTTAATTTCAAAACCTAATTATAGAATTTGGATGTTATATTCTAGTTCTAAGCGGAACGATAAATGTATTGATTTTACAACGATGTAAGTTTTTATTTTGTGTTTGTGTTATTTATAAAATGTTTATGGAAGAAAAATGCTGTGATTTCCAACTTTGGGGATGGTTACTAGCTGACAGAAAATTGGAACTAGTTGGAGTTTTTAGCTTTAGTTTTATCCTTGCACCTAAATAAAGATAAACAGTGTTCAATGTGTAAAAATCCTGACAATTTAATACGTGGTTTCGTATATGTTATTATTATAGCAGTTTAAAAGTATTAAAAATACATAAAAAGTACGGGCTAAACACTTTTGAAAAAATTCATCAAAATCACGGATGTTGACAAATTATTTTGTAGTTAAAAATTGTTCGAATTTTATAGCTAAAGATCATTTAATTTTCTCATAAGTACAACATCTATTATGGTAAAACAGATTGGTTAGGTACCTACTTTCTTCCTTTTAATGAAGGATTTCCTATTTATGTATATACTTAAACTATGAGTGTATTAAATATAAATATAATACACTTTTGATACACAATAAATATATTTTTTGAGTTTTAGGGGGATATAGGGATTAAGCCCTCTCATGAACCATTAGATACATGCTATGTATTCTCCACATGTACGATTCGATAGTAAAAACCCATACAGACCGAAAACTAAAATAATAATAAAGTGAGAATAATGTTTAATAATAATTTATAATTGGTAATACAGCTAAGATTACTAATAACTAATAAGTATAAATAGTAATTACACATTTTCTTGTATAATATAATACATATAATTTGTAAATCATACTCAATGTTGGTTGTATAAGATGTTATTAAATAGTGAAGTGCAAAGGACTTTTTAATAAATTATAATTATTGAAATGTACACCTTTAAAACTTTCTACGACCTCAACAATTCAAATGCTTATACATTTATAATACTCCATGAAATGTTTTGTAGGTATAATATATAGGTATGGTCCATTACAATGTTTAAGTTTTTATACAAAGTTTTTAACTTGGTATACATATAGTACTTCTAAATAATAATAAAAAAAAATCTTACATTTACATCTAAATAATACGAGTAGTTAAGTTTGACAAACCTGATATCTAAAAATATATTATATTTTTGAATTTTTCTCATTTAACTATATACAAAAATAAATAGATATTATATTTCTCATATAAATAAATAACAATAATACCTATATAGTAAGATGTTTTGCAGGATAGTTATCTTATTAGAGAAACTGCACAGTCGTAAAATACTATCAAAAATATAACAAATCATAAATCTTTAATAAACCAAAATATAACAACAGGATGTATAAAACTTAATGTCGATTATTGTTTTTGAAAAAGAGTTATCAACAACGCGACGTTATTCACCATAAAAAATGTGTTTGGTTATTGTCGTACAAACATGGTATACTTTGACGTGACTTTAACTGTGGGCGGAGAAAAATAAGACGATTTTTGTTTTTTTCTGTGTTGTCAATCGTTAAATTCAGTTTAATTTACCAAACGACGATGGTGATGAAGACGGCGTATATTTTTCAGAGGTACCGTAATCCGTTTTCATCTGCATGAAACTTCGAACACCGACTATAAAAATATTTTATTATATTAAAATATTTAGTTAATACGTCATTTTAATATATATATTACTATATTATAGTCCAAATAATGCTAATATTCCACGTTCAGAATATCGATACCATTTTTTAAAATTTTTTATTTATTAAAATAAAAAAATTTACAATTTGTGCATAGTGTTCGTACAATAAGCAAATAGGTTCAATAATGGAGAATATTTATATGAAACTATATTTAAAAGGAGGGAGGCTATCCAGTGACAGAAACTTTAAACAATTTAGTAAATCCCTGCACCAGCGTCTTTTTAAGCGCTGGGTGGGATTATTGGTCAGTTGGCTCCACCTTGAATAAGTGGGTTGGTGTGGGTGGCTAGTTTAGAGTGAAATTTTTTGAAATGGTAAGATGCAACTGAGGTAATAGTTTCAATTTTGAGGTCACTGTGGAGTGTGTTGTTAGTTACATATTAGGGTGGAGACGTCAGTAAACGGAGAGTAATTGATTGGAGTGCTTGAATTGTTGTTGTTTGGGATGATTAGGCACAGTCCCATATCAGTATTTCTTAAGCCCTAGGCTTAGGCCGTAAATAGGTAAAATTATTGTTCAACGGGGACTGACTTCAAGTGACCGGTGTTTCAATATATATTTTGTGGATTGTGGACTGTAGAGAACACAGGGGACAGGGCTATGTATTTGGCATATATATCATTATAATAATATTATATACGATCAGTATAGTGTAGCCAGGTATGCTGTATGGAAAGGGAGGAGGCTAAGCCCGAATAAATCCCCATTCACAACTTTTGTAAAATAATTTTTTAAATATAATATAGGCTAAAATAAGCTTGGTCAGTGGGGGGAGGGGAGGGGGGGTGAGCTTCAGCCCCTTATCCACTCTGGTTACAACTCTGTAGATGGTATACTACTTAGTTCGCTATAACATATGACTATATATTATGTACCAGTGGTACAGTACCACACAGCGATTAACACGCAAATATTAAAATGATTTTGATTTACCGCTTTCATTTTTAGGTTCATTCCACGGCTGTACCTCCGCAGATCCGAAAATGATATAAAAAATACTGGAGAAGAACAGTATGACGGCTCCCAGCGTGAACACGACCCTCCACTCGTCTACCGAAGTCTATAAGAATAAATATAATGTAAGTGTTATAATTCACTTAAAAATAATGAAAACCCGAGATTCCAATTATTAATTGTCGTATAGACGCTAAACGGCTATGGCTATAACTCGACGACTCGTGTACTTATTAGTAAAAAAAATAAAACACTTTAACGCAATATACTCACTTGATCGTGTACTATGAACCCGCAGACGGTGGGTGCCATCACACCGCCCAGAGCGGCCACGGCGTTCGTGAAGCCCATCAAAATCCCGGCATAATTGGGTGCCAAATCGAGGTGATTAATGTTGAAACCCACATTTGTACAGCAGCCGATGGCTACTACGAACACGTACATACATATGGCTGCGTTTGCATCTTCACCCATGTAGCCAAGGACCACAAGACCCAACGCACCGCCGCTCATCCCTATACGCGAACATCAAAAATAACGTGACGGTATAATATTCTACGCTTTTCGTGCACATATATTATAATATAATACATAGGATTTCATTTAAATCGTTCTCGGTGAAAAAATTTGGTAACAATTGATTAAAAAAATTAAACTCGATTGCTATAAACATATATTATTGCGTATAGCTTTTTATTTATAGCTATTATTTTACGTATAAATGAGTATTAACAATATAGTAATTATAGGCACAAAGAACTTTAATAAAAATATAATGATAATAATAGAAAATAAAAAAGAATGTATAAATAGATACATAATGTGAACTAATAATTTGAAATATAATATATATTATTCTTATTATGTTGAAGTGTTTTATATTTTTTTCTGACATTTAATATTCAACGTGAACTTATAGAATTATTATTGGATCAAGACTATCTACCTTTTTAATGCGTCAAAGTAAAAAATAATTATAGTAAAAAAATATTTATTTCAATTCTTATAACGTTCACAAAATCTATTTACTACAATAAATTGAAATTTAATTATTTTGAATTAGTATACATATTGAAGATTAAAAATAAAATATTCTTTTAAACTAGTTTTTACTTTCTATAAAAATATATGATTTGGTATTTAGAAAACAAATAAAAATAAAATTGAAAATTATTTTATGTATTTGTTATGAAATGATCAAAGGTGCAGCTCTATTTTCTGGATGTCATTTTACATTAATTTGAATTAAATTAAAATATAAACGATTTTAGTTTATTTATTAAGTACAGTTTTATCAAAATACATACCAACCATTTTCTTCAGTCCCTATTTACAATAAATCGATGTTACACATTACACAGTTAAACTACTACGTCTATATATTATGTTATAAGTATACAAAAATGCAACGTCTATAATATTACCCAAGGTATTCCAAAATTTACGCGAAAAGGTGAGAGAAGTCACATTTTTTTTGTTCATATAATCGGCAAAATATGTAACTGGAAACTGACACAGCCACATAGCCAAGTAAGGTAATGCAGATACAAGTCCATCCTGAAAACGTTTACCACAATTTGTACTCATTAATGTGGCTAATACATCTCGTTCTGTCATTTTAGATTCTGAGAGGAGCGATGAATATATTGATTTTACAAATGATGTGTGTTTTTTTAGTTTTTTAATTTTTAATTTATTTTTATTTTTGTGTCTGTCATCACATTTTGGGGTTGTAAAAGTGTTTCGATTTTCTTCAACAGCAACTCTTCTGGTAGAAAAGTAAATTTAATTGGTGCATTCAGGAGGTCAAAATTTAAAATTTTGAAAATCACAAAAATTCGAAAATTATTTTAAGTTAGAAATTCATAAAAATTTTTATTTTTCAATCTAAGATTTCTAAGAAAAGCAAGTTCAATTTTTATGAGCATTTTAAGTTGAAATTTTTACAACATTGGATATTCTGTTACTATTAAATATAAAATATCTAATGAACATAATATATTATTTTCTGCCGTTCTTTGATTATCATCGCACAAGTTCTTCTTTATACTAAAATATCCACTGTTTTTCAATATCAAAACTTTGCAATTCATTTTCTATAATTTTGAAGTCGTCTAAGTATAAATTTCAAAATATACCTGATTGTCTTTGTCTAAATGGATATTATTTATCGACTAATACACATATTTTATTTTAACGTTCGGGCTTGCAAATAAGCAAAGCAGTTGCATAATATAATATAATCATTAATCATACAAGCTAGTTCATACCGATTTAATGTCGAACTTTAGTACAGCACTTATAAACGTGGGCATTTCACTAAGCAGCAACCAAAATCCACAATTGTGACCAGCGTGTGAGATCGTAACAGCCCATACTGGCATTGAAGAGAATATCTCTTTCCAAGGAGTTATCAAGTTCTAAGACGAGCAAAGAAAATAAACAGTCAAGTGATTGAGTATACAAATTGAAAAAAATGTTAAACAATAGTCAAGTGGAGTATATTATAATATGTTACTAGTCACATAAACAACCCCCCCCCCTAAAAAAAAAAAAATTGTTTGTTTTTTGTATAAAACGTGCTTACTGTCTGCCAATAATATAATTAATATACTCTTATTATTTTAGGATTCGCATACCTTTTTTTCCGACACCGTTTGGGTTAGTGATGACTTAATGTAGTTTTTCTCAGATTGCGTAATTAGACGATGTGTATCTGGGCTTTCTGACCCAAGTAATAGCCATAATATTACCCAAAAAATTCCAAAAGCGCCGCTGAAGTAATAAATTGAGGGCCATCCCGATCGAGTACTGGCCAGTATTCCAGAACCAACTAAAGTGACAACAGTGCCAAATTGAAGACCTAAAATGGAAATCTGAAATTATTACTGAACTTTATAACAATAATTATTTTTTCACACGAGGCTCTTCAAAACATCTCGAAACTGTTTCAGGGTTAAGTCAAATTGTATCGTTTGATTAAAAATGTATTTATACCCCTATACGAACACTGGCCTATTAAAAAGTACTACGGGAACTTATTACATTTAATATCACTATTCACTATCATAGTTTACTAAGAAATAAATTTAACAATAATTTAACAAAATTATAGAAATATTATAGATAAACGTTACATCCCAAAAGTAGGTAACGAATAATAGTTTATTTAGTTTATAGTATCATAATATTCTTCCTCCGGCAAATCGGATTGGATAAACTATTATAATATAAAAAGTATGTAAATTCGTCACTAATATTAATATTTATAATACTATATTTTATTTATAATTTAATCTTTTACTATACTATTCTTATGAAATAAAAAATAAAAAATGTCACGCTTGTTGATAATATTTGGTAAAAAAGCAATGAACCATTATGCCCATTATGATGCCAAAGGTTATTTTTCTCTTGAAAAAAAAAAAAAAATTTATTTCGTAGTATCTTTAATCATAACGTGAATTCAGTTCTAAATAATTTATTCTATATTTCCGTTTTCTATATTAATTATTTTAAATAATATTGTCTGTAAAACATTCATATCTTTTTCACTGTAATCAATTTAAATAACACAATTTATATTCAAAAATAATACAATTAATAATATATTGATTTAAAGTAAATTTTATATAATGATTTTACATGTGAAAACAGCATAGAGTTGGCGTAAAATCAGTACTTTAATGTCTTACATCTATATATAAAAGTAATTTTAAATAATGTATAAATATATACAAGTTATACAACAATTTTATAAAGTATTTTTTTATGAGTAAAATTACAAAAGTATTCGTTATTCATATAAAATAAATAAGTATCAAAATTTCTGTTGGTAAATATTTTTTAACTGTTCATAAATAAAATGTCAATATTTACATACACTACCTACCAGAATAATATATTATTTACGTTATTTTAGTTGTAATTACAAGTTTATGTTTTGCATACTTATTACTTACTATGCATTACCATATAAGATTTTAAATGAGCTCAAATGTATTTGTTAAAAAAAAATAACCATAGTTATATGTGAAATAGCACTATATACTAGATACTTGGCACATAAATTTAAATAGTATTGTAACCATTTCTCATAATTTATAATTAATACTATTTGTTATTTTATAATTTATAATTTTTACTTAATTTTAATAAATATTTTAAAAGTTTATCATTGTTATTTGTTATTCAAAATCTATCGTAATATAGTGTTCTTAAATTACAATTTACAACTTCATAAAATCAATGTTTTCATAAAAAGTTGTCTATTTTTTATTTCATTAAATGCACGACATTTCCTGTTCTTTTCTTAATATTCAAGAAAAACTAACAAAAAGTAGCAAAAGACTGGAAAACTTACGTAACACCAGATCCTAGAAAATCGATTTGGTTTTTTCTTTGTAATTATTCAGAAAGAAATAACCGTAAATACTTAAAATAAATATTTAATAACTATATCAGCATTTTCTATAGACATGTAAAAACTAATTTTTTTGGTATACTTATTATTTACATGTTACATCACGAATCAATTTACACTATTCTACACTATTTTACGTATAGGTACTAGGTAGTTACTATTTCGGTATAAAGTTATATGTAATAGGTATGCAATGTTTTTGGAATAAATTCAACTAACTGAATTATAATTAATACTTGTAAGAATTATAATATACAAATATTATAAGTATATAAGAACAAAAAATATCCTTGGAAATAGACAAACTGATCCAACGGCATCCTTCAGAATCGTTTTTCGTTTTGTGACATTATTTAATTTATTTAATTCAAATTTAACTCATTTTACATTAGCATGACCTACTCAATTATGATATATTCACTTGTGGATATATGACACACTGAGTTCCAAGCTTTTTTTCTTCATATTATGTTATAGTAGTTATTTATGTTGTTTATTGTATCATGCATAATATAATATAAACATAAACACGATTAATATTAAAACTATTATTAGGTTAAGTAAACATTTATATAATGTGTAACAAAATTTAGTTTTAAGTCTTAGTGTCTTAGAAAGTTTTAGTAGATGTAGCAAAATAGAAACTGAGTTAAGTGAGAATAATTTAGAAGTGTTAGGAGTAGACAAAATAAGTTGGTGCTTCAGCGCAGTGATGCGGTCTCTGTAGAATAAAAAGCAACTAAATATTCTATTTTGATTATTGTGTGTGTAATAGTGTGCATTGAATCACCTTATACGACAGTTGTCAAATCATATGAATAAATAAATTAGAATTAATTAAGAACAATTAATAATAATTAAGAAAAATTAATAAAATCATAGAATAATGATTGAATATATAATCATAAGTATATTTATTTAGGTACTAATTATATTAATAATCTCAAGTTTTATTTTAGAATGCAGGATCAAATTGACAGTTGCAAATTACCATGCATTGTTTGCTGCAAACCAGTTTAGGCTAGCCTAAGTATATTATCTATACTATGATAGATGTATAGGTACATGTACGGTCATAAATCATAATCACAACATATTTATGCAGATTATAGTTGTCTAAAGACTAAAATATGTGTTCATTAGTACTAGTATTATTATACCAGTTTCATACAAATTTGATAATATTAAATGCAATATCTCAAAAAGTATTGGTTTTGTATTGATGTGTGCTTACTGCTTTTTAATTTAACAAGGTTACTTCCATTTTATTCACTGTAGTACCAGGATCCAGGATACTTCAATATCTAGCATTGAGGGGTTTCTGATAAAAAATTAGATCTTGTTGGAACTCTGGAGGAGACAAAAGTAAAAACCCCTAGTTTAAATTATTTTTTAAAAAAATTCGCAAAACAATGGGTATTTGCCGTAATTGATAGTTCTTTTGTTATAATTCAAAACAAATGACGGTAAGAACGGAATTTTCATTAAACATTTATTATAGAATTTTTTAGACATTTTAATGTATTTTATAGAAATTTGATTTTTTTCAATTTATTTATGGTAAAATGTTTGTAGTTTGTTGATAAAAAAAAAAATCACGAACATTTAATACAAGGTTCCTCATTAGTGGTTCTTAAAGCCTGCAGTTTAGACTAATTTTAAGCTGTTTTTACCGTTAACCTATTCACAACGTTCTATAGAATGCGGTATATTATATTATATCATATAATAATAAATAATAGTAATATAATATGACCAATATTATCTCCCCTCCCATATTCTCCTATCCTACTCGTATGTACAACACAGTATGTAACATAAAATGTTAAGAAATTTTTATTGGTCCTTATTGGTACTTATAGTGTCAATAGATAAAAACAAAAGGACAAGTAGGTATTCTTGAAGAATTTATGATTTTTTATAAATCAACAGTACAGAGATGTATGTCATGGGGTTAATAGGATTACATTTCTCCGAGATACTAAACTCATGATAGCTGTGCTAGAGTTTTAAGTTTTAATACATCGATAATAACGTATAGCAGTAATGTATGCAACAGATTATGTGTGTATTATACATTATGTGCATACACAGATATCTACTTAAGCGGTTACAAGAGGATTGATTACGAATTTAATACAAAGTTCATTGGAATTAAATGTACTCACTTGACATTATATTATTTATATGTTCAATGTCCTTTAGTATACTCATTAGTCGTTATATATTTCGCATCAGTTATATTTTTATAAAATAAAGTAAATTATATTTTTCAGTTATAGTTGAGCTACATATTTAGTCGTTTAAATCCAATGTATTCATTTAGATATAAGTAATAAGTATACTATAGTAGTATAATGTCAACTTTCAAGTTAAGTTTGTAAACGAATTAATAATATCTTCTATTTTTTTAAATTTGAATACATGTTTATCAAATATTTAAACATGTATCAATGTACTCGTATGTATAATATAATAACTATACTTGCTGTATAAAAATATATATCCTTAAGTATGGTGAAAAAATAAGTATAGAGATAATATTATGAAATTATTGTAGTCATATTATAGTTTATAGTCCCAACTTAATAAATTGATACGATTATATAAATACCTAAGCCTATATGCATGGGTCAGATTAATTTAGGATGGTTATTACGGACAAATAATAGTTTTCGAGTTGATCTTACTTCTGAAGAGGCCTCATATGAGAGTTCAATAAAATGGTTTACCTCCCAATACAAATCCAACGAGACGACCACGTTCATTCGGTGGCGCCCACTTGGCGCTGATACCATGTATCATTGGCATGGTGAACGCCTGTATATAAATAAATGTATAAAATTTTACATAATACATTATTGAAACATAACATTAAAATAATGTTATTGTATTCACATAATGTAGATTAATACACGTGGATCAAATGAACAGAAACCAAGTAGGTATTAATACGATATATAATTTATATTTGTAACAAAATTGTTAGGTACACCTATTAAATGTATGCATATAAACGTAGCTGTCATTTAATAAATTATTCGTAAAAATAAACCTGGATTTCTTCAAATATTTAATTAATGTTCGTTCAATTTACATTATCTACATGATTTCCTGATTTTTTTTGTTTGATAAAAATCAAAATTATTACTATTATAACAATTCTACACTCATACCTGAGTAAGGCCCTGCAAGAACCGAATAAGTACAAGCACCGGCCAATTGAAAGCGACCACTAATGATGGCGTGGCTAGACTGAGAGCTACAGTCAACGTCATACTCATGGCCAATAGCATTTGATTGTTGTATCGGCGACCGATCATGGCTGCTGGCAGGTTCATGATGAGATAGCCCCAAAAGAATGCGCTTAGGATCAAACTCTTCGTATGTTGTGTCCAATTGAATACCTTTTGATCCACATTCGCAGAATATATATAGTATTATAGTACAGTGAAACCTCTAAATACCGGACACTCTTGGTTGCTGAAATTTTGTCCGCTATTCGGAGGTGTCCGCTATTCAGAGGGTTCAGTTTGTAGAAAATACGTAGTTTTCTCCCCAAAAAACGTCCTCTATTTGGAGGTGTCCGTTAGGGAAAGTTTCACTGTATTTATATCAGGAAATCAAAAGGTCATAAAAAATTGACAATATATGAAATATAGAATATGATTGGTTAATGTGAAATAGTCACAAAATTCTTACTAACAGGAATGTGGTAATGCGTTTCGAGTAGGAAGTCAGTAGAATTCTTGTCAGGCGTCATAGCTACTATTGCGACGGATATGCTAACTCGCAACAGGTAAGCTGCGAAAAGGCATAGAAACAATAAAAAACTCTGCAGGTATCGAACGCCAGGAATTTTTCCACCTATAAGAAATACAATAAATTATATATTTGAAATAAATACACATGCCTACTGCAGTGGCGCATAGACAGTATTTTCAAAATGAGTCGCTAATTCAACTCACCCACATCAAAAGTTATTATACTTATTGATAAATGTATGATTTTATAAAATATTTATATAAAAAAGGGGTAGCTACCACAACACCATAACACATGGGATGTGTGCCACTGTACAGGTACCTATATAAAACATAAAATTTACATACGTCTATAATAATAATACTATATCTGAAATAATAAATGGTAGTACTGTTTGAGTGAAATTGTAACATATATATATCTTTATTTGTTATAAAACCTGGAAGACAATTTGTATCTATCTATGAATATACGACTCATATTAATATTGTGATTACATTTTGATGTAACAATTATAATGCAATCGTAAAATTATACTTCAAAACATAATATTATTACTCAACATAGTTGTATTGCATATAAATATTCTGATTAGATAAAGATTCAACTTTGTGTTTAGTAGAGCCGATGATCAAATTCATTATGTTGGATTTTTAGTTATTTTATTTGATATCTGGTAGCAACATATTAATATTAGGTAAGTCTTAACACACGTTATTATTATATTTTAGAGAGGGAATTCCTATGAATGTAATATATAAATAATAAATAATATTAAAATAAACATTATTTTTTAATCGTTATAGCGATTATGAAAATTTAAAGTTCAATTTCTATTGTAGGTACTTATGTTATAATCACCCTCATTATTGTATTCATCAACCGTCGTCAATTATAGTATGGGAGCTGTAAAAATATTGTGAAGACACTAAACAGGATCCGTATGATGAAAAAGTTTGAATACCTCTGACCTAGGTACTTAAGTTTTGAATAAATACAAATTAATATTTACGACTAGGCACTAATCTATAGACTATCTCATTGACCATGTCCATGAAAATTGAAATTTCCATGAATATATAGGTATTCAAATTGGATGCACTGCAAGGATCTTTCATCAATATCTCATAAGAAGAAAATGGAATAACCCCATCAGCATCAGTTTCGGTATCCATCTTAATATCTTGCCTTATTTTAATCAAACATAGCACTAATAATAAGATTAGACTGGAAACAAAAATTTCCAACATCCTGTTTAAACTTCTCAACCGATTTACCATCGAATGAATTATTAATACTATTCATAAAAATATAAAATATAAAATAACCTAATAAAAGTCTACCGACTATCTATTTTAGATTTAACTGAATATATTTTTAACAACGTTGTATTATAAAATGGTGTTATAATTATGATTGTAATTAAAATATCGGATGACCACAGTTGAAGACAAATATCTAAAAGAAAAAATACATAAATAGCAAATAACTGTTTAGGTGCCGACACCAGAAAAAAATAGAGGAATAAAATATGTTGAATTATCCAAGCATAAACTAACTGTCCAAAACATGAATAACCTGGTAAAAATAAATGTTATTATTTTGCAAAATTACATTTTTATCTGATTAAAATCATAGCAATATTCTAATATATATTCCCTGTAAAACAGCAAATAAAAATCCGAAGGATTATCATTGAGTCTAGCTATATATTATCATAGGCTATAGGTACCCTAATATGTTTACAATATTTAACTATCGCATGTCTTTGATCATCTTATGAATCTGTGTTATATTAATCAGTTACATATTACATACATACATATATATATAAATACCTATTTATGAATATTGATATATTTAAATCATAAAGACAATTAAGTATTTATAAATATTGGAGAACTTAAATATTTGGTCATGACTCATGAATGAGTTGTAAGGTCATTTATTGTGCTGTTTAGATGTTTAGTGATTATTATATTATATAGGTACACAAGCCATCACAAATTAAATAATAATAATAATAAATAGATTCTTAAATATTTGTTTTATACGCATTATATTATAGAGCAATTAATTATTTAAAAAATAATTAGTAAATATTTACTATCAAATATAAAGTAACATTCCCAGGTATATAAAATAATACATACATTAAAAAAAGAAATAATTAATGACTAATAATTTGCGTTTGATATGTGCTTAAAATTTTAATAATAATGAACTTCTTGATTTTGCGTATTCATGAGGCAGATTATCATGTACTTTTTTTAAACAAATTATTAATTTACATCCAAACAGAACAATGTTTATAAGTTATAATAATAAATACATAATTTAGTTTAACAAAAAGCCCTTTTTTGTATACATTTTAGTTTTTACAATAATTGAATAATGCGTAATAATCAGCATTTTACATCATGTTTTGATTATTTGCATTCAATCTTAATTCTTAATACATAACCATGTTTGATGAATTTATTATTGTATATTTAAATAATATCTAATAAAAAAACTTTGTACTGATTTATAATATTTTTGTTTTTAACAATATTTACTATTTTTCATTGATATATTATAAATCTTCATTTTACTATTGGGTAGGTAATAGGTATTAATGGACGAATAAAATTAATAAATTATAACAACGAACGGGAACGATATCTACGATAAATCATTATCTATAATGTTATCTATGGCCATGAATCATATCACTAACTATTGTGGTTGAAAGAGTGGATTAATATGCAGATTATTATAAATTAGTCTATTATTCTGATATAATATGTTATGCTTCGTACAAATGTACAATCAAAAATACTATTATAGATAATATTAGTAGATTTGAATAAAATAAAAGAGCTAGATGTACAAATTATAGATACTATAGAGTATAGACCATTAGAATATGTATAGACATTTCATCAACGGAATCAATAATGATTTTTAAGTCACAGTTCCAAAATCGTTATTTTTCCTCAATTTTGTCTTTAACTTGTACAAGCAAACCCTAGATATTGTTAAATATTTTGATTAAAAGTTAAAACTACGAGTATGGAGTATACCGTGTTTTCATAACTTAATTTTGCAAAAAAAAAATGTATAATGATGTTAATGTATGGATAATGATGTCTAATGTGTGTATTTTAATATAATATTCCTTAATCCTCAAAACAGTATAGATTAGGATCATTCTGTATAATATATCTATTGAATATAGCCGATAGGGCCCATAGGTAGGTAATATTCTTTTAAAATAACTACTATTTTGGACATATTTATGACTTCTTTTAAATTTCACAATTACCTGATAATTTGTTAGAACATTGTTCATTTAGTTTAAGTTGCTTAAGTACAGTGGCGGCATTTAGGAGTGTAGTATCCATCCCAACCCCTCCCTCCACTTAATAATTTCGATATCATATTATCATTCATAGTGTATACGAGTAACGTCGAACTGAAAATATGTTACTCCCCCTCTGCATTCTGTATGACAAACTAAATCCGGCACTGACATTGGGTTGAGTAACATGATCAGGATTTCATTTTATAAAAATAAAGATTATTGTAGAAATAATTCCATAAATGTAAATATTTAATACCTACGGAAAATTATTTTCATTAGCAATATGAAACGAACTTAATAATAATCTGAAAATCACAATACATTATTGTTTGTAACCTTGTGCTTTAAAACAAACTATAAACATATTGTAGTACTTACGTAGGTATATGGCCAACAGTATTATATAATACTGTTATAAAAATGTTTAGGATTTTCGTTTCAAATAACAATTTATTTATACGCACCATGGTTTATGTAGACCATATAATAAAAGCATAAAGCCCCCTAGGGTGCAACCCGTATCATATTCACCCAATACTATACATCTGTGTATTTTTACTTTAAAAGCTGTGGTCTAGTAAACATTATACATTTCAGCGTAAATGATTTTCCAGAACAGTATTACCTACATAATAATATAAAATACAAATACATATTTTAATTAGTGATTCACAATACTCACAGACAGTGGCGTACATTCAAACTTGCTCTGAAGGGGGGGGGGGAACAAAAACCTTCCCTTTAAGAGTACCCATTTTCCTTATCAATCAAACACGTATTAATAATTATAGGTAAAGTAACTAAACAAATACAAAGATTTACATAACTCATCATGGCATGCTATTAAATATGTACACGGTATATATAGAATATTATACGATGTATATAGTATGAGTAGCTGGACCATTAAGTCTTCCCTATTAAAATTAATTACAACATTAAATTTAATTGATTATAAGCATTAAATTTCAACTTCAAAATTTGTTGTTGTTTACTGATTACTGATATTTTGATATGAAAATTGTAATTAATATCAGGAACCCAAATTTTGCTCAAAATGTCTTCTATCTCACTTTACGTTAACAATTTATTTGTGTAATGTGCAATGTCTAAAATTTTATAACTGGATAATGTACAGTTAATATCTGTTGTCGAAGATGTGAACTGAGTGATTAGTGTATCAGATGTGGATGAAGGTGATAGTAGTGAGGAACTGATAACTATTGGAGTTGGATTCAATAAATTTGACAATGAATTCATTACTGAGGGTGGTTTTGAAAAAAAAATTGAATTTTCGGTTGTTTTTTTCAGACATGACTACTATTTATTTTACTTTCAAAACCTAAAATATATCGAATGATAACGATGTGATATTAATGATTAAATAATGGTTAGTTAGTATGCCACTTTATTTTGCTCTACAGTTTACAGTAAATTAGTAGCTAGGAATATAAAAACTGCATAATGTATACTTTAAGTTCAAAGCGTAACAACGAAATTACAAATAAATAACAATTCATCAATAATATCACAATTTTTTTTCTATGGCCCTAGAGAGGTTTGAACCCGAACCCCTCCTCGTATGTACGCCACTGCTCACAGATACAATTTTTAAAAAAATTGACCAAGAAGGTATTAGCTGTATAACATATGTCGAGTGGTCATTCAGTAGATCCTGTGATGGATGTGTTCAAATTCTAGTTAAATATAGGTAATTTATCATTATATACGAAAAACGATTCCGAGAAGAATCAGTTTGTCAATCTATATAGGCATATTACTAAGTATATATTTAAATATTGAATTACGTATCTATTATTTATAATACTATCATAGTAATTTATTTTACTATTAGTAATAGTTAAGATGTTATAAGGTGTAAATAAGCAATAGCATCCAATTAATCCAAATACTTTTAAAATGTCAAAAAATTGTGTATTGAAAAATATAAGTATAAGATATAAGTATCTTTTCTGATTGGAAAGTAAATCTAGTTAATATCTACTTTGGGAGCGTTAGGGGGTTAAAATAAAAAAATTCCCAGTCTTTTCTTTTTACTAGTTATTGAAAAACAGAATTTTTTCGAAAAAACTTGACTTTTTACGCATACCTACCTTGTTTACTAAAAAATTGACTTTTAATTTTGTTTTAATTTAAAAAAAACGAATAACCACAGATATTTGAATTATTCACAAAGCTTATAGATATTATCATTTTATAAAAATTAATTAATTAAAATATTTTGGCTAAGTATACCATTAATCTATTTACAGGCATTTTAAAATTTCTAGTTTTATTAGATTTTTTATGAATAAAGGTCGAAAAAACCTTAAAAGTTTAATAATATGTTTTTCGTGAGTTTTTTAAATAGGAATTTAAAAAAAAAATGTAAATCTACAGTAATTTTTTATGAGCATTTGAAGTTCTAATGTGACGAAATTCAGACTAAGAATAACGATTTTAGTTATTTCATTGTAATTCATACTTCATACTTGGCCACTCTTTATTTTACACGTATATATAGTTGTGCATATTCCAACTCTATATAAATTTCAAATTTGGTTTTGGTTGTTTTCAATAATTAGGATGGAAAGTACATTAATTTGTATTAATTTGTAATTGTCAGTAATATTGTGAAGTTTAAATTAATTTTGCATCTTAAAAGAATGTACCAGTGTAACTTACAGAGCATAAAACCCTACGCTAAAAATATGTACTACATGTAAATTTATATGATTTACTTGTTATTAACCTTATTATTTAAATACCACGAGTCTATGACAATGAGTTTAAAAGTTTGGCTTTGATTATTAAGTATATAATTTAATTTCTAGTACCTCACTATTGCATAAAAAAGTTTTCAATTTTTTTAGTTTCCAGTGTTTTATATTTGTCAAGGCAATCAAAAAATGAATAAATAATATTTAAAAAAAACCAAGAAAACAATTATGGATACCAAATATAGGTATATTGAAATATAAAAAGCATTTTAGATAAGACATCCAGATATCCGAGGGGATTAACGATTGCACGAAAAACGAAGCTTCTTATTTTAAAATATTATATTATATTCATAGCAATTCAATGTAAAATATTAACTTACCACCTGCAGGTACACCTATAAGATAAGACATGTAATCCTATCAAACTGAACGAAGATCAAGAAATTTTAATTTTTCTCAACCCTAGTTTCTGAAAACAGAACATTTTTCGAATAATATATTTTTATAAATCGATTTTATGATTTAATACTTATATAGGTATCTAATTTATGATCTTTAAAAGCCCCGTGTTCACGGTTGTTTTGTTTTTACATGTGAAATGATAGTGGGCATCAACTAACAGCTGCTACAGTTATAAGTTAAAACACTTGTGTGAGGTGAAATACGTTGTATGAAAATCTGCGTTATAATAAATAATAATTAAACAAGCATATATTTAGCTGTCAGAAATAAAACACACAAACACAAAGTCCGTGATTTCTTTATTTACTATTCATACCATCAGTATACCTTCCTAGTGCCTACAATATATTATCGTACCTATTATTACAAAGAAGTAATAATGTACATATTGACATATTGTATAGCTTATTAGTATATTAATTTATGACATAAAATATATACAATATATTCGTCAGGGGTGTCGTGTGGTGTTGAAACAGTTAGCATTGAACTAAAAAAAGAATGACAAATCATCACAATACATGTTGTATTTGACTTATAAAAGCCGATTTAGTTTTCACGATCGGAAACGTAGTTTAGTTGTTATGTAGAAATATAGGATTTTAATTGTATATAAATAACAATTTATATTATAAAGGTAGGAAAAATGTTTAACCAGCGGGCATAGACACGTCTTTCAAATTTGCAATTTTTTTATGTTACCTATTAATAAATTGGATCATTTTGCGTAAGAATGTGTAATCAAATCTCTGCATATGGATACCCTAAGCGCTAAAACTTTAAATCTATTGTCTCCAAGTCGTCTTGCCTTCTTGGGTAGGACTGTATTATACTCTTGTACAAAAAAATAGCACACAAGGTCAAACAGAACAATATAATTATTAACATAGATAATAATATATATTTATTTTATCAACCAAGTTAAAATATATTATAATATACTAATAATCATACGTAATGAGGTAGATTAGGAAGCTTAGATATCGGTAAACATTTATAATAATGTATATAGCTGGTGGAGTGACGTTGACATATTTTGACATACATTCAAGATTTACATCTACTACACGTTATAGGTACCTACTCAAGATTGGGTGAAAATTGTCTTCCACAGTAGCGGATTTCTCTATTAAACAAACGACATAAGGTAAAATAATCTACAAAAAGCTTATAATATATAGGTTACCCTTCATTTTATGCAAACTAAAAAATAATAATAGTAACCTGAACGGGCCTGCTAATACTATATAGTTAAAGCCTTTAAATTATAATTAATATATATATATATATTAAATTAATTATGGAAACAAAGAAGGCTCGATGGGGGAGATAGGTACATCACTTAGGCCTAACCCCAGAAATACACAACTATAATAATAATATGTACCTACATAATACACATAGATAGGTATCAGCAGTTACATTATAATACGATAGCCTGGTATAATTATTAATTTATTCTTATAGCATTATACAATACGAGATTGCTTACGTTCGGAAAATTCATCTTCGAGCAGACGCGCTTTGGACTGCATTTCGCTGCAGCTCGTGTTGGTGGATTAAACGGTGATTATGTGGATATCAAAAAACGGTAAATTAATTGCCACGGTAATACGTATGCGGATATATTATTATAATTATCACGTACAGACGACGAACGAGGAAAATAATTTATAGTGACGCGCTAGAAGCCGGACGACAACGACAAGACTCGTTCGCGCGACGAGACGGGACTGATGCGCTTTCGGCTTTGACGTTTGCTCGCGATAACAATAGGTACTAATGCAATGTTACATAGACGCGGTATAAAGTGTTCGGTTATCGAAGTTCACTTGCCACGCGGTTCGGTAACAGCGGCACCTGGCTCCCCACGCCTGTCCGGTCGACTTTGAGAGCAGATAACGCGCGACATAATTATTATGGCAAAATGATATTACCTACCTACCTGGGTACCTATACCGTTTATCACCCGATTTCAACAGCATCGCATTATGGCGGTTTGCTCGAAAACATACAACTCATAAGATAATAATATTATATCATTACGATGATGACGTGAATAACCAATTTAATACTAATTAACTTTATTCCAAAGTGAATTTTGTATTATCATACACAGGGGCGCCATTTTGCTTTTCGTATGGCTCTATGTCCGGGAGTAGGCCCGACGGCCTAGTTCGTACGCTTATTTAGGGGCGGCATTGAGGACACTCGTTAAATAGGCGGTATTTTTTGACATCATTATGATAAAAGGAACCCCAAAATTAAGTTTAGCCTACGTATAAAAAATCACAAGGTCCTGCCCTAATCATAGAAATAGATACCTATAGCCACCCAGGTCATTTGGAATGGAATGGTGGCGGTTTTTTTAAATTGTTTTTTTTTTAAATATGATGGTTAAATATCGTTTTAATAATTAATAGAGAAATATGTAAGTAGAATTTCAATAATAATAAAAAGGGATTACATTTGATACCAAACTGCTTTTAGTTTTCAAACTGGTTGTTTAAGGTAATAACCTGGTAATGTTGAAAATTTTCCGTTTTTATCACTCAAAAGTCAAAAGTATTAACTTTAGGCATAATTTTCTACCAGAAACCACGTATTTACTACTGACAGCGCGGATAGCCATGGTATCGGCCCACCGACTTTTTGGATTTTAACTCGCCCAATTTTTAATAAGATATATGTTATTTATTATTAGTCATATTTTACTGTTCAGAATTTGCTAGATTCAAATGTTTTTGCCCATATATACCTAAGCCGGCACAAATTTTACGCGGCCCACTGAGTTCGACTCTGTAACTCTTTGGGCTTATTCCGTATCCGACCGTGCAGGTATACGTATACCTTCCTATCTACTAGCTACAAAAAAAATAGTACCTTGAGTTTATTTTAAATCTGTATGTTCATATAATTATAAAAATGTAATCTAATTTTAAATTGATTATTTTTTTTTTTTTTTTGATTAAGGCTTCAACTACTAAGGTCATACGCCTGTGTAGGGGGGGGGGTGGTTGTTTGGAACACGTTTGTATGTGAGCAAGGATGTGTTGCTAAAAACCCGGATGGTCACCCATCCGAGTGCTAGCAACGACGGCTGGTACGTACGCTCAGAGCGTTGCCGCAGATTGAGCGTACGACCGCACCTCACCAAGGCACAAATTGATCATTATTTATATTACTTACTATAATTTAAAAAAATGTCTTTTTTTATGAAATTAAAATGCAAGTGCCTACATAACATTTTAAAAAATAAAATGTTCATATTACTATAAACATTAAATTCTAATACATGTATTATAACATACTTACATACTTATCTATTTGTATTCTAGATTCGATAACTCATATTTGTTAATTGTTATATACTTATATGAAGTTATTTATTTATTCTAATTTTCCTGTTAACAAGTAGCAGTAATAATACATAATATTAAAGTTATTATGATTTTGCATTAAATAAAGGTCATATGATAATAATAATAAAATTATTATGATATAATTATAAATTATAATGTTTGATAGGAATAACACTATTCACCGTACGGTGAGCAGTAGGTTCCTTAGCTTCGGTTAAAAGGTTTTTATTGATAATTTGTACTGCAATCTGTTTTTTACCCTTATTATTTTTTAATTTTTTAATTACAATTACCATTTGTTTATTTGATCAATTCTATTGTTTGTTTACTTAAATGATTGTTATGTTGTATTGTCCATATTTATTTATTACTATAAATTGTTATTTGTTTTATTCAATTGATCTTCCAAGCCCGTTAATAAATAAATAAATGTTATTACAGTCTTGGATGAGTTTAAATGTTCAATGTACTCGTCAGGTATAGTACTGGAGAGTTTACAACCGGAAGAGCTTATACTTTTACAGGTCATTAAAATCGGAAGAGCTTACAATAGCCACGCCACGTTGCTAATTCATCCAAATTTCCCCTAAATTGTGCCTATGATTATATTAAAAAATCAATAGTTGTAAGTAGGTACTTTTCAGGGTACCTATCCAATAAAATGGACTCTTGAAATTTATTGTGTATATCACTGTACTTAGTACATGATAGTTGTTGTGTGTCAATGTAGACGCATCCAAATATTTTAAATTATTAAATGAATAGCAGGTACATTAATCATAAGTCTAGGGCTCGAAAGTTGTTGCATTTGCATGTTTTTTTTTGGACCGTTAGATTTATTGCTAAGTGAGCTAGAAATTCATTCTAAGACACTACGAAAAACATATCAAAAGTTTATAGTGCATATTTTTGAATATTTAATGATTTTTAGAGTTTAGAGCATATTTATTCATTTTACATTTTTTTAGAGTATATTTTATAAATGATAATATATGGAGATTAGTAAATTAAAAAATAAATAGATTCATATTAAAAGAATTTATTAGATATTCTTGTATCGTATTTTTTAAATTTCCATTTGGTATCAAAAACAATGTTTTTCTTCTATTGATTAATATAATGTATAAATATTTATAAATTATAACTGCAGCTTGCTTTATCTAAAATAGAATATTATATAAATATTAAATGAATATAAAATAGAAACAGCTGCAATAGAAATACGATGATTTTCTATAAATATTTTTCTAAGGAAATAATTCAATGATTATTGTTGATGTACTGATGGCATTAATAGACCTACTGCCGAGATATTATTGTCAGTTCCGACTTATACGTATTTATTTTATTCAAGGAACATTTTGAAGGCATTTTTATATAATTTTTTTGTTGTTTAAATTATGATAAAAAATTAAAAATAAAAATTATTTTTATTACTTTGCTTTTTCCATATTTATAATTTTATAGAATATTTCTGTAAAGTTTTTGTTATCAGAAAAACATGAAAATTTTGTATAAAAAAATAAAATATAAGTGCATATTTTTGGAGCATATTTGTACTTTTTTAAGCGCATAAGAGCATGCATATTTAGTACTTTTTAAGTGCATTAAGTTCCGAGCCCTAATTCATAACATATGACATAGGCCTTGTTGAATGGCACAACATTAGGTACCTACCTAGGTCCTACGTATTGGACCACTAAGCAACCACGGGGACATTGCTCTCACAAAAATTACGTCTTTATTAAGTTTTTGGATAAATATTTAACATAATTTTCCATTGAAAACCCTATGGTCCTCTATAGTACAATACTACGTATTATCTACTATTTAATAAAACAATGTTTATTTGTTTTGAGAAGACCTTAAGAGTTAAGCCTAAAAAATACTTAAACATAATCAGTGTAGGCCTGGCCATATAGCAAACATCCCAGGATGCTTATATTACCATTTCATTTTAAAATTAATTTGACTCTTTTTGAGATATTTATGTGGAAATTTTGATTTGTATTAGTTTTTTTTTTATTATTATTTGTACAAAATGTTTCTTAAAAATATTTGAAAATGTAATACAAGGCTTTTCATAAGTTATTATTAATGGAAATAAAAAAAAAATTTGAGCGTTCATCCACAATAAGTTTTTATGAGCCCTGAAGTTAAAATTTTGACTAAATTCGTCAAAATTATGAATATTTACAAATTATTTTGTGTTAGAAGTATATTTAGAATTTCATAAAAATTTTTCTACTTATATGTAAGATTTGTAAACTCAATACAAGACTGTGCCACACCACGACACTCGATAAATCAATACACATATACATCTAAAAATTATTATATATTTCATAAATTGTTTAAAAAATATGTTATAAGAAATGATTACAAAAATATAATTATTATAACCTACTGGTAAATACCGAGTAAGGTAATTTAAATTTTGAGTTTAGGCACAGGGCCACCAAACCCACCCTGTACTTACATCACTGGGGAGGAACTCCTCCTGGTATATAATGATGTATGCAGAAATACAAATTAAATATAAAATATGCTTTTCAATTATTGATTGAGGTTGACACGTTTTAAAATAAAAATGTATAATATTATGTTTTTCAGTTTGTATGACTAAAGTTTGTAAAATTGTATAATATATATAGATTGTGGGCACCAAATTGTTGATTTTTCATGTTTGTGATTGTCTCAGATCTCAGTGTTACAACTTTACAAGTAATAATAATTTTATAAGTAGAAAGGTATGTAAAATATTAAAATTGATAATAATTTGTCTAACTCTTACTACATGTAGTTTCAGGACTATGCTTTATGGTTTAACTAATTAATAGGTCTATGGTCAGCAACACGATTAAATACCTCTAATCATGGTCAGCAACAACACCCGTCGAGATAAATAATATTCTATTTATATCAATAATGATAACACCTGTTGACTGCCTATCATGAAATTGGCAACTTTTATTTTCATATAAATATTATTAAGAATTATAACATCTTGCAATCAGCCCTAAACAGTTTTATTTATGTTACGTTTACATAATTAAATACCATTTCTTTCTCATTATTTTTCAATAAAAAACCAACCTTGTATCTTTATGGTATAAATGGGATTTGAAACCCAGTTTACCTTTGTCCATTGCATAAGACTATAATAATTAGGTAATTTGGTAGGTATTACTATAGGAATGAAATTTATCAGTGGTATTCAGCGACGCAACGAGAAAATAATTTGGGGTGGGGGATACATTCTATCAATATATATCAACATAAAAGATAACATGCTGGTAGCCAAAAAATAGGACAAGTCTTTTGGCTTCATAAATTCAATTAAACTTGACATCTTCTATATTCCCCAGAAAGTAACCATAGTATGGAATATTAGATATTAAGTAATGATTGGAAGATTAAATGATTTCTACTTAAGGAACATTTATTTTCAGTTATCATTAAATTTATTTTATTTTTTAATTGTTGTGAAACGAAGAAAGTACCCACTATAAACATTTTGTATTTACTTGTTAGTTATTTAAATAGGTAATTAAATTATGACCATTATAGTAATTAATGAATAACGTATCTAGGTATTTTAAATATTTAAGAGTTGTAAAATATTACCATAATGATAGCTAATAATGAAAAACTATACAATTCAAAACATTTTGTAAAAGGAATTCAGAAAAATATAAAAAGGTAAATATAAATATCATAGAATGTTTGTAGTTTATTTATGAATAAACTGCACATAATTCCATTAATCCATTAGTCGATATAGTAATAAACATAATACTAATACTCAGGTATAAATAACAAGATTTATGAAATCTGAATGTAGATCATTATTATGTTTTGTTGAATTTTGTAATTAAAAAAAATTATTATTATACACAAAAAAAAAGCTTATAATTTGTTGCATGTTTAGACAAATAAAAAATATTTAATCGGAATCACTAGCATCTGATGCACTTCCACTACTCTCATCATCATCTTCGGAATCACTTTTACTTTTTTTCATAGATGTTGATTTATCTTCTTCACTTGAACCATCAGAAGACGCCTAGACATATTTACAATAAAACATTTATAGAAGTTAATATGAGTTGGATAAAAAATATTAATTACCCTTTTCCTCTTTGATTTAGAAGTATCATTCTTTGTTTTCTTAGATTTGACGGGTGATTTTTTATCATCGCTTGAATCATCAGAAGATTTCTATAAAAAGAAAATAGTTTTATTCATAACAAATTATTATTATGAGCAGGAGTCTTGATAACATAAGTAATTATGACATAGGTTCATTATTAGAATAAATCCTTAATATGATTTACATAAAATACTATAAATTATCTTTATTTATACTAGGTAACACAATGAGATAATATCCAAAGTTTAATGTGAAGAACAATCACCATTCAAGGATAACACATGAAATATAAGCTATATTGTAAACGGTAAACCAAAGTGACATCCAGCACATGTCAACAAAATGAAAGATTTTAAGAATTGTACAGAAATATCATGAAACTAGATGAATGGGACACCATTTTCACTATATATCCTTGCAATTACTAAATAAATAAAGGCTAGAACTTTAGATAATATACAATAGATAGATCCATGGGATAGAAGTTAAGTTCACACTAGTCGATTCAGTTAGGTTGATTACTAATTGTAATTTCAAAAATTATAATAACCAGCATTGAAATAAAATGAGCACTTATTTACTTGGCTGAGATATTGTGTCTATTCCAACACGAGTTAATAATTAGATGTAATAGTGTGGTCTCTGCAGGACCGTATTGGACCACCAAGCAACCACGGGTACATTGCTCCCACAAAAATTACGTCTTCATTTAGTTTTTGGATAAATATTGACTGCCTAACATAATTTTCCATTGAAAACTCTATGGTCTTCTATATTACAATACTATACTACCTACTATTTAATAAGACAATGTTTATTTGTTTTGAGAAGACTGAAAAGTTAAGCCTTAGAAATACTTAAACATAATCAGTGTAGGCTTGGCCATTTAGCAAACATCACAAGATGTTTATATTACCATTTCTACATACACCATTTCATTTTATAATTAATTTGACTCTTTTTGAGATATTTATGTGGAAATTTTGATTTGTATTAGTTTTTTTTTTATTATTATTTGTACAAAATGTTTCTTAAAAATATTTGAAAATGTAATACAAGGCTTTTCATAAGTTATTATTAATGGAAATAAAAAAAAAATTTGAGCGTTCATCCACAATAAGTTTTTATGAGCCCTGAAGTTAAAATTTTGATTAAATTCGTCAAAATTATAAATATTTGCAAATTATTTTGTGTTAGAAGCTTATTTAGAATTTCATAAAAATTATTCTACTTAAATGCAAGATTTGAAAACTCAATACAAGATTTCTCATAAGTTTTCATTGAAAACATTTATAGAAGTTAATACGAGTTGGATAAAAAATTTAATTACCCTTTCCTTCTTTGATTTAGAAGTATCATTCTTTGTTTTCTTAGATTTGACCGGTGATTTTTTATCATCGCTTGAATCATCAGAAGATTTCTAGAAAAATAAAATAGTTTAATTAATAACAAATTATTATAATGCAGGAGTATATGTAATATATGTATACATATGTAATTACAACATAGTAATTATAACGTAGGTACGTCATTAGAATAAATCCTTAATATGAGTTACATAAAATATTATAAATTATCTTTATTTATACTAACACAATGAGAAAAATTAATAAATTAAATAGTATCCAAAGCTTAATGTGAAGAAGAATCACCATTCAAGGATAACACATGAAATATAAGCTATATTTTAAATGGTAAACCATAGTGACATCCTGCACACATCAACAAAATGAAAGATTTCATGAATTGTACAGAAATATCATGAAACTAGATAAATGGGATACCGTTTTCACTATATATCCTTGCAATGACTAAATAAATAAAGGCTCAAACTTTAGATAATTCACAATAGATAGATTCATGGCATAGAAGTTAAGTTCACACTAGTCGATTCAGTTAGGTTGATTACTAATTGTAATTTCAAAAATTATAATCATCAGTGTTGACATAAAATAAAGTTATGTATATTCTCTATTTAAATTGTATTTAATGTATTCAACTTTGGGTAAAGTAAATCTATGCTCAATTGTCTGTACTAGCATAGACACAGACATAAAATAGTTTTTTTAGAATTTTGATTACATTTTTTGCATAGTTGACATTTTTTCATGCATATTTTACAGTTTTTTTCTTTAGTAGTTCTTATAGCTTCTGAGCCCTATTCATAATAAACAATAATTGGTAATTAAGATTTTTAAAAGTCAAACATAAGTTCTAAGTGTTAACTGAGAATATCAATCAACATCTACATTAAAATATTTGTTTTTCATTGATTTGAATTTTTTTAATTTTAGGTATTATGATTGAGTATAGAGTATTATTTTAGCTTATTGTAATTCAATTTAAATTAAATTACATAAATAAAAACACCCTACGCAGTATGTGTAGAATAACGAATCAGTTAATGTTTTTTTATTATCATCATAATTAACTTACCTTTTCAGATTTTGTTTTATTCTTGCTATTATCATCACTTGATGAGTCATCATCAGACCCAATAAATTCTTTTGAAATGAATGAACCACTTTTAACAGGTGTTGCTTTCTTCTGTGAAGGTTTCTTGGGCGTTTTCTTAGAATCCTTGGATGATTCTGCTCCTCGTCCAGATTCTTTGAATTCTTTCATAGCTTCAATATATTCCTCTTTAGATTTAGCTGCTTTTTCTTCATATTTCTACAGAAATAACAAATGCTATTGAACACATCTTAATATTTAAAATCCAGAAAATAATAATTCTATGTGGGTAGTTATTGATTAGTGTCATTATGTAATATTGTAATTAATTGGTAAATTGGACACAATTGCAGATTTATATCAAATTTATAAATAAACCTTTTAAGTAAAGCATATTCATAGACAATTTTATAGTGAGTTATATTTAATACATAAAGGGTAGAATACTAAAAGTATAACTTAAACAATATAACTGTAAAAGCTATATTACAAAACAACAATTTGTATAATTTAAATTTTAGATGTCTGGGGTTCCCTAAACAAAATCTTTGGAGTTTCCATCTACCCACGTCTATCGAAGACGATAAACGCTATTGAGTATATTCAGCATTTTCATTATTTTCTCAACATCCATGGTTGATATCTGTGTTTTAATTAATAACTTATAATAATATAAATTATAGTTATTATTTATCTATACTTCACCTGTTTTTAATAATATTAAAGATATGAAATCATCAATTTATATGATTACAATTTTTTAATAATGATGTATAATATGTCTTAATATATGGGCTATTAATGAATTTTAAATAAAAGCAATTATTTACCGATTTATCACTGTTTGACATTTTTTTCCATAATTCACCTCCTTTTTTTGCTATATCAACAAATGAAATTCCTGGGTTATCAGACTTGATTTCTTCACGAGCTTCATTAAACCATATCATGTACGCTGTTGCAGCTCGTTTTGGTCTACCATCATCAGGTTTCTTCGATTTTTTTGACTTTCTTGGTTTTTCCGACTAAATAAAAATAACACAAATAACAGTTAAAATAAATCTTTAGTACTAGCTCTATGACAAGAAGATTTGAATAATTAGTGTAATAATATTTTATATTATGCACATAAGCATGCGCACATTGGAGGTTCCATGGAGACAGAGCTTCTTCTTCAAAATTTTTTTATGTATATTAATCATTTGTTGTTGTTTAAGTTTGATGATTTATAAGTTTAGAATATTAATAATAACTTTTATTAATCTAGTTAACAAGATATGTTTTCTAGAAAGGCATAAAAATCTAAAAGTACAAATTTATTTATATTTCCTTGATGTCATACATGAAATGTTATTTAAATTATTTTTGCATATTTATGATTCTTAGTGCTATTTTGCTTATTAAAAATTTAAACACTATTTTAATGTACATTTTCAAAGAATATCTATCATTTTTAGTTGACATTTAAGAGCTAAAAGGTCACATTTAAGTGCTATAACATTCAAGAACTGATAATGAACGACAATTTCACATTCAATCAACTGAATTTTGAAAACTTAACAATTAATTCTACAATTGGGGACATCTTTGTCCTAACAAAAACCTCTAATCAAGATGCTAAAATCTTCAAAAGTAAATTTAGTTTAGTTAAACATACAGTTAATAATATAATATACCCGAAAGTGATAGAAACAAATTAGGTTCATTAAAATGGATAAAAAAAAATTTCTGGCAACAAAAAAGAAAGAAAAAATATTATTTAATAATGTAATCAAGGGAGTAAAAATATTAGTTAATAGTTTCTATTATAGTAACAAGTTTTTGAAAAGATTAATTTTAATTATAATGTAAATGTAATTACATTCTAAACTTACACCTAACAATACCTTTATTTTTGTTCAAACTTACAATAGTTTTCGCTGATTTAGGTTTTTTATCCTTCCTTTTCTTTTCTTTCTTTTTGTCACTGCCACCACCTTCCTCATTTCCAGATTCTGATTCTGTTGTTGATGATGGATTACTATCAAACCTGTAACAGAAACAACATGTTTAAATTTTCAAAACAGGGTTAAACAGAGGATTGTTCAGTGCACCATTTGTTTTCTCTCTCACTACACGTCTGAGTAGAACTCATTTAATTTTGATTTTAGAATAAAAATACATACTATAAAATATGAGAATATTTTAGTGTACAAGACAGTGCGTTTTTTTAAAGTAACAGGTCATTTAAAATGTTGAAATGGTAGTTATTTATAAATACATTGAGTAATAATCAAAATAATGAAAAAAAGGCAGTCCTGCTGTTCGAAATATTGTAATTTATTAATTTTAAAATAGGTATTTTTATTCTAGAGGCAAAATTGAGTGAGTTCTACTAAAAATGTTTTGTTTATGTTGCGCACGGGTGTAAGAGAGAAAACAAATAGTGCGCTGACTTCCTCTTCAATAAAACATACTCTTCAGCGACATCACTCTCTTGTCCTTCGGGGTTGAAATCTTCATCTGTACTTTCATCTGAATCATCATCATCTTCATCACGTTCTTGTCCTTCACGTTTAACTCGGGCCAAATAAGCATCAGGTTCTGCTTCTTTATCAGAATCACCATAGTCATCTCCGGTATAAGCAGGTTTATCCTAATGTTTAAATATTAATAATTAATTTAAAAATATAAAATAAAATCACTTAATTGTATTACTGATTTTCCAGTGTTTTTCACTCTTAGCTTTTTGGCATTAATGAAATCGTAAAGACTTCCATATTCTTCTTTTTCAATACTACTAAAAGTATGTATAACTCCATTTTTCAGCTCAATTTCAAAATCAAAAGACCTAGTACTACCACCGCCTCTAGCAAAATTAACACTGGAAATTTCTTCAAATCGTATGTGTATAGGGGGTTTGTGTATGTAAATGAAGCCTCTTTCAAGTGGATAAACATAGCCAGCAGCAGCTTTATATGAACAGCCAATTGCTGATGTTCCAGAGTGACTAAAAAAATAATAAATATAACAATTTAATTTTGTTACAATATTACAAAATGTATAAGAATTAATACATAATATATATTTAATTAATGCTAATAAATAATAGATAGTAAATACTATAAATTACTGAAGCAAAACAAATTAATAATTTTGACCAAAAATTGACAATTATTAACCAAAAAACAACTCATACTAAATTACTTATATTTAATATTTAAAAACAATTAAATATTTCTTGTATTTTTTTTCTGTCAAATACAAATAAAAATCAGTATTTATTTAATGCATAATTAATTATTTACTAGATATTTTATATGCTACTCTCCAGAATTTTACTAATGATTAACAATTTCCAAAAAGAATTCTCTCATTATAGCAATAATATTATTAAATACAAATATAACTGTGAGTATCAGTTGCCAAAATTAATTGAAACTATATATTTCAATGTGATACAAATACATTTAATTAATGAACATACATACAGAGTACCAGAAGACTACACAGTTGGCCAGAAATCATAAGAAATGCTATGACTAAGGCCATAGCTGTATCTTTTTTATTGATTTTATAATGATGTTTTAGAAAAAAAACTTTGTAACTACAAAATTGTAAGTGGATTGTAGATTTTCCAATACAGATACTGAAAGATTCTTTTATCAAAGAACATTCATAATTTCATTGACTATTCAGGTTTTTGAAAATATATATTTTTTTACATACATTTAAGTTGTAAGCAAAACAACATTTTTAATTTTTTGAATCACGATATATATTTTTAAATTCTTCTTCCACACATATTCTGTACTTAGAAATCAAAGTTTTGAATTTTGGATTAGTAGGCTCATAAATTATAAGTACCTATTTAATGTTTAGACTAAGAGTGGAGTGGCATAGGGGTTTCAGAAAATGTTGATTCATTATTCTGCTCATTAAGCAGATTAAGTTTAAGCTTATTAAACTTTAAATAATTTTAACTAAATAATTACTTATCAGAAATTTAATTTGTATGTATCAAAATACACTTTAAAAACACACGGTGTCATACACAACAGTAATGAACTTCAAAAACTTAGGTTCTGAAATATTGATTATTCTTTGATAAAAGAACATCATTACATTATATATTTATTTTTAAGGATTATGCATTTCATAATTTGTTAATAACATTAAGTTATTACCCTTTGAAACTGGCTGGTGTTGTTATTTTTCTATTGACAATGGCTTTCATGACTTGAGCAAGAACTTCATATGTAGGACCAGATATTTCTTTAGTTAACTTTCCTGCATATTTTTCCTCTATTTCTTCACTAAAAATTAATTTAAAAAAATGTTCATATGACAAAGAACAAACCTCATGATGGTATAAATAATAAACTAATATTAAGTCAACAATTAATTTTTATTTTGAACTTACTCAGTGAATGGGAGTTCAATAGATGTTTCCTCTTCCATATTAAATAATAATACTAAATAATGGTATCTCGTTTGACCTTGTTTAATAGGTGGATCCAAACTGACTACAAAAAATATTTGACGACCATCTTTGTGTGGTAATATAAACAATCGGAGAACAGTAGTCATTGGAATTTTGTAATCAAATGTCTTACCATGAAGTTGGAAAAATGTTTGAAAAACTTTTATATCATAACGACCACTAAAATAATATTTAAAATGTCAATATAACTAATTTTTCAGAATAAATATTAAATTATATCTGTAATATTAATCACCGAGGAGTAAGACATTGCATTTCTCTGAATATAGCAATCGCATCACCAGATATTGATATAACACTGGCTTGCTTCATTACTTGATCATGGAATGCATCTACTGGATCTTGGTCACCCGCAAGCTCAGCTGATGGAATATGGAATCTCATTTCACATAGACTGACTGGTGTTTCGTCATTCTACAATAAAAATATTATGTTACTAATTAAGCAAATGTACATTATTTAACAGTTTAAATTGATACGTAATATTAAAATTATGCTGAAAAATGTAGTTTATTTCTTTAGAATTGGGACAAATAGTTAAGTTGTCTCTGTATGATTAAAAATATTCTTTTTGATTACCTGATGAAATTCCAATGTTACTTCATTTTTGCCAGTAGTTCATTGCGATACATTGTTTAAAGGTATTTCAAAAGCAGTCAGATTACCAATATCAAAACTCAATATTGATCCATTAAATTTAGTACTACCCCAGTTCCAGCCTTTAATGGCTAATTCTTTTTCCAACATATCCAAGCGATATGTGTTTTTAAAATACTTGGCAATTTTATCTTGATCCTGTAAAATAAAAAAGTAATTTTTTTTAATCCATATAAAATCCATATAAAAGTAATATCAAACTTACAGACTCATTGAAGCCACTGTATCGATGAAGATTACCATTTTTCAAAAATATTCTGATACCACATGTACCAACTAATTTTTGCCAATTAACAAATTCTATATCAGAAGACGTTAACTGTTCTACTTTGCCAGTTTTTACATTTTTAAATACAATATTTTGCTCAGTGAATTTTAGTCGTCCAGTACACTAAAATGAATACATACATAGTTAAAATCAAGAATAGGTACCTACTTATGCATTATAATTTATTCATAATTTAAAACAAATAAAATAAAAAACATTTATATTTATACTAGCTGGATACACAGGCTTTGCTCATTTGCAAATATAGGTCTATCTCTTTTCTGATATCCCTAAAAACAATATCTGAGGTTTTTGAGTATATAATGTACAAACATTTATTTGATTTTAAGATAATATTTTTGATCGAGGCCATGTAAATGCAACAAATTGATACATGCTTATACTTCATCTCCTCGGACCTCGAGTAACCAATGTCAACCATTTATATTAAAAAATAACTGGCTAAATTCCCTTGCCCAAATCAATTGTAGCTCTCCCTATAATCTATATCTGGATCTTAGACACAGATGTAACTAACTACGGTTAGTTTTTGTAGGTAACTAACTTTCTTTTATATCCATAATGTAATATTATATTGTTTTGCAAGAAATAAAGACATAATTACTATCTAATTTTGTGGTACACTGAAAATTCATATTCATGAATTTATCAGATTCTGATAATGTACATTTTTAATAACAAATATATGCGGATACGAGCTACCTATAAAGGTGTGTGACTAATATAAAAATATCAAATTTTAAGTTACCTTTTATCTATAACTTAACCCAAAAAAGAATTTAGTACCAATACCATTACTATTCTTTAAAAATGAGTTTATCTCTAGATAAATTGGTTTTCATTAATTTTATTTTCTTATTGTTAACAAATATATAAAATTATTTCAGTTAGGTATGAGAAAGTTATATCTAATAAAAATGATCACAATTAACATGTTGACTTTGGTATTTATAAAAATATGTTATTTTAAATAATGTTGTGTAAACATGATCAGTTCATAAGATTAAAATATTGTCGTCGTCACACAAAAAATGATCGAGTGAACATTTTTATAATTTTTTTTTTAATTATAAATTGTATGTAACATTATAATTTTAGCTTTTTTCACTCGATCACTGATAGCATGTTTACAACTATGTTGTGATTTAAATATCCAAAAATTTGACCAAGTGAAATAATTAAATAATTATGGGGTACCTAGGTAAAACAAATTTTAAATTTCAAAATAAAATCTTAATAATTTTCATTCGATCACTTTTTGAATGACAGCAAAGCATTTATATGTCCTCTACTGTTCAAATATTCTTCATTAAAAAGATAACTACCTACATGGCATAGGGTGACAATTTAATCAAACCACAATGACAGTTACAATGGAAAATACTACTTACCATAATACCCTTAACCTCAGCACGAACATCTTGGAATTCCAAATCCATACTTCAACTATATAATATGTAATTCAAAATATAAATTAAGCACTCAAGCAGACAACGGTAAGTTGTTGTATAAAACTAAAGACATTTAAAAGGACTATCATTGCCCAAACAAACGACGCGGGAAATTGATAACAAGTTGACAGCATGCTAACGGCAGGCGCCAATGACTCGTTTATCGGGGAGATCGTATACTCATTGGCATCGGGAGATCAGCTGCTGCAGTTGTCCGAAATATGATAAGAGAGATGTGCTTGATAAGCTTCGGAAAACAAGACAGTAATTCCAACCATCGGACAAGAAAAATCCTTACTAATATTGATAAAAACTATATTTTCAAATATATTCAAATTTTCAGTTAAGCATAATATTAATTCGTATAAAGTTAAAAATAATATAATGGAGTCTTGATAGTACTTGAAAGTACTTGAATACAACTAGTAAAAGTATTTAAATACTTTTTAGTTACTCGAATACGACAATACGTCAACAGTCAATACGTACCTATTTTAAATACTTTTAAGAAAAGTAATTATTGGACAAATAATTTTTAAATTTTTAAATTTTAAACTTCTGCGTTTTTACTTTTTAAAGTATCTGTAATTAAAATCAAATTATTTACTTATTCTTTTTAGTTTCTACAGTTATTGTATATTTTAATTTTAATCACTTAAGATAATCAAAATAATTTGAGAATTTATAATAATAAATAATATATATTATTTTTTTCTCTAAATTATATACTCAATTGAAAAATCAAAACTTCGACAAAAAGAATAGTCAACAAATGAGTCATTTCAGAGGGGGATTTGATTTTGATACAATAGGTACCTATATTATATATCATAGAAATTATAAATAAAAACAAACTCCTCTATAGAAGAAGCTGCTGTACGCCTGTACATAACTAAAATAATATTACTTCATAAGAAAACACTAATCAATAATCACTATAAATTGCACAAATATAAATATGGCATAACAATGCAGTTTAACTCCAGAGCGATTTATGGAACTTGCATGATGTCCAGAGCTTATGAGCATGTTTAAAAAAAAATGCAAAAGTCATCAAAAACTTATATCCGGGTCCTAATTATTTATCATTTGTCATACTTTATAAGAAGGTCAATCGTCGAGACTTGAGAAAAATATTGATGAAGACAAGAATGAAATGGTTGATGTTAGGTACTATAGAATATTTAGCAGGATCAACGATGGGTTCTCAAAAAGTATGAGATACAATTTCTAGAACTTGGTTTAACTACCCACCTCACATAATGACTCTCAACAAAATATCCTCTAGAACATGATTATATAACATCAACATGAATAAATCATTTATCATCATATGGGGGTTTAATTGTACCTAGTTCTGATTTTAAAAACAACGATTTAAGAACTGAAATTCTATATTTAATAAAATATCTAAAAATCAAATTCCAAGAGTAATCGAGTCTAACTAACTAAATTTATATTTGAATTCTTAAAAACGCCCGAACAGATGATACATTTCATCCGCGTCCACATAAAAAAGTAGATACAGTTTTATACGCTGACCTATATACAGTCTGGTCGATTGTCCTATTTAAAAGCGAAAAAAAATACTAAACCTGCAGCTGGGTAATCTCAGAGGAAACGAGGTGATGTTCCAGACAAAAGTCTGAAATCCCAAACTTTCTGTATAAATTATAATTTATATTCAAACCGCATCATGTTGCGAAGTCATATCTTTTGTTTCATAGGCACTTACCCAATGCGTTGCACGTATAACAAAAATGTTGGTAACACAACACTGAACACTTCAGCAATGTGTATAATAGGTGCATACTATAAGTTGTGCAACGCTTATAATTTCAACTCTATTGACATGATGAAATGAGAATCAGCACTTATCTGGACCTCGATTATAAATTATTACCGGTTGCAGTTTTAAGTTCGTGGATTTGATTTAGAACATAATCTTCGATAATCGACGTCCCCCTATACGAACATTCACGTAACCCTCATTTTTCATTTATTCGATTTAACTTTTTAGTCTATCATAGTATTAGTATATCCACTAAAACAACGGTAAGTACCTACTTATGTTTATTAAGTTATACAAGTATAAAAGTAGCACAGTTTCCCAGTCCTACCCTAGGAGAGAGGAGGTTTGATTAGTATTTATAGTGTATGTGAACACGACGTATAGAAAGACCGGAATATTATTGATTCAGCCTGATATGCTGTGAGTAATACATTATATTATCAGCACAGGAGAGCGGTTTGTTTACTACTCGAAAACCAAGGGCACACGATATATTATCAGGACCGAGTGGAAAATTAATGTGGCGCCAGCCGGGTGAGCTGGACTGCAGACCAGAATGTCGTATACATACCTACCAATGTTATACAGAGCGGGCCACAGAGTTTCCCGGTTTCCTATTTAGTTAACTCCATGGGGAAAACGCGGCTGTTTGTCTTGTATGTATACTCGTGGTGGCAGAGTAATAATTATTGGCGTTTTACGTTATTTCCTCTGCTTCTGCGGTAAGTACACAACTATATAAACTGTCACACCGGGGGGTTGTATTTTTTTTCGGACGTCTCTATAATAATTACTGAATCCGCGATCCTAGCATAAAAGCTCTAGAAAAGTGTTCGTTTTCCGAAAACTGGGTTCACCGCTATATTAGGTATTACCTATAATATTGTTGTAAGTACCTATGTGCAGTTCAGCAGTTCGTACAACACCGTAAAATTGCAATTGTTTCATCGTAATAATATAATACGGTTCAAAAGTGTGTAACGTTTTATGTTTTTAAGGTAGTTTTTCGAGTAGCTTTGTCGTTGTTTCGGAGAAGACGAAAAGTAATGGAAGTTGTAATACTGTATGAAATTTCGATTTGATGTTTTATTATATAAATAGTAAGTAGTAACCCATGTCGCATAGGTAAATCAGGGAAGGATCGAAATCCAAAATTAATACTGATTGAAATTTTTCGCATATTTTGTGTAGGTATTGATATGTATGTACATTGTACAAGGTGTAACAGAAAAACCTCATAAATTAAATAATTCTTGTTTTAATTAATATTTAAATAATCGTACATAGATTATACTCACGCTAGAAGAACGGTCTAATTTTTTTTATGTCTTAATTCTGTAAATAAAAAAATATAAATTTAGTTACATTTTTTTTGGAAAAATTCGAAGTAACCAATTTGCCAACCTAATTAAAAAAAAATTAATATGAAAAATGTTTTTATAAGTCAGAAGTTTATTTTTTTTATAGTTTTTTTAAAATATAAATATTTTATTTTAATAAATTCATTTAAATTTTAATAACTCATTTCAAAATATAATTTTTGGGAATTTCGACATTTTCTGACATAAGTAAATCATAAGATAATAATTAATAATTGTTTTCGTACGTTTACACGTATTAGTTTTGAATTTCTCATTTTTCAGGTCTTTCTGTTACACTCTGTTACTCTGTATACAGGGTGTTTCTGAAGTGTGTGAGGTAATTAGTATACGCATACTCACTATGATGCCACAATGAAGATTTTTTTGGAATTTTTTTTCTAACTTGAAAATCTGGGTTTTTTTAAAGTTATTTTTAGAATATTATCTCGAATGTAAAAATAAACACTCTAGTCGTATTTTTTGCAAAATTCTCTTACGAATCGAGATATCGCATCATTTTTGCGCTTGTCGCGCTCGAATCGCCAACTAAAAAAAAAGTCGTGCGACACATCGATTTGTATGAGAATACTGCAAGATAACCAGTGGTGATAATTATTTGTTGTCATTGATAATACACGATTATATATACATAGTCTGACTTATTTCTTTTGAAACAATATTAATAATATATTAATATGGTACTAAACATTGAGTTCTGCCCTGAGTCAAGGCGAAAATAACTACTACATTGCTAAACATGATATTAATGATATTATTATAGTAATATTGTATTGGAACAATACTAGGCATAATTAATCAAAAACAATACGTGTCAAATTATTTGTTTTTTTAATACGTTTAAATCGATGTTGGTGTCAAATATTATATTGAAAACAAACCATTATTCATATTGTGACAGTGGTGCGATAGTAAAATGTGAATTAATTCAAAATAAAAGTCTGGCAACCATCATCGTCGTGGATAAAAAATATCGAATTGCCGAATTGGTATTCGTATTTGGTTTTATTTTTTTTTTGGGGGGGGGGAGGCATCAGAAAAATTGGACAGAGTACTTATCTTCTGACTGAAAAATGTACTCATCTTAATTATTATTTTTTTCTAAATAATACACAAAGTCACTATACGCAGTGTAACGAAACGGGCATAGAGACATAGAGTACAGATACAAATGAAACTATAATTAAGTAAGTATGTAGATAACAATATGAAAGTTGGAGTGGTGTGGCGCGTTGTGCACACTCTGTAGTCTGTTGCGTATACGTGCTCTGAGTGTACCAATGTACCATAGAGTAAGGATAAAGTGTTCACAACGACCGGCTTTGCTAGCTTCTGGATGGATGACCACAATGGATTTTTAGTAACAAAATCTTTGCCACACACATACAAATACTTGATCCAAACCAACAGTAGCCCCCTACAAATAGCTAGTGGCCATAGTTGGCGGGTCTTAGATCTATACAAGCAATTATTTATAAATGAAAGTTAATATTAAGTAATAATATGTACATATCTAAGATTTCTCAAATGTGTATTTGACATTGACCCAAGTAAAGCGAGGTAACCATCTCAATACTTCTGATGTTATACTCAAATTTTCAAAAATTGAAAAGAAATCACTTCCCGATTACCACTTTCGTTTCAGCTAATGTAGTTGTCTAGCAAGTTTCAATTAATAAATTTTAAAATATAATAAGGTACCCAATAATATGTTTGAATAGTCTAACAAAAAAAATGTACATTTTTAACACATTTTTAAGACTGCAGTTTACAATCACCAAATTCATTGACCAAAAATAATACTCAAAATAATTAGTTACTGAAACAATGATTATTTGGAGGGCACCAGCTGGCTATCAAAGTTTAAAAAATGTGTATTAAAAAAATCAACTAGAATTAAATTACAAAAATAAAAATTGGAAGGGGTGCATAGACACCTGCAGTCAAATGCATTTTAAGAATAAAAAAAAAATATATATATATTGTAGGTAGGTAAATTCCCTGAAGACTGCAGTCTATAATCTTTCTATTTTTAAGCCCATCACATTATTTACATTAATTAGTTTATTAAACAGTGTTTATTTAAATGAAACAAGCTGGTTATCAAAATTTAAAAGAATGTTCATAAAAAAATCAAATAAAGTCAAATTATAGAAAGAAAAATTTGAAGGGGGCATGGGCATCCACAGGTAAATGCATTTTAAGAATAAAAAAAATACAAATAGCTCTATCATCTGCAATGTCAGTTGTATCATATTATTATTTATAAATAAATAAATAAATAAATAATATTATATCTGTGGATTCATCATTTATCAAGTAAAAATATTATAATATCTCTCGTCAATGGCAATTGGCAACCGTTGCGTAAGACGTAGACTGTGTTAACGGTTTAAAATCTCAATGAACAAACTGAACATGAACAAAAAATATTGAGTTCGGTTCGGTTTTTTATAAATCATAATATTTTTAGTTCGAAGATGTAGCGTTTCCACGTCTATGTTGGTTAAATGTGATACGGAGTGGTTTTCGCCGAAAGAGTCGATGTTTAGTTAGTTTGTTTTCATATACTTTTGTAGGTTTAAATGTACTTTTAGACTTAAATATGTATTGCCATGGACAATGAACTACTCAGGGGTATAGACACATATTTTCATATTTTTTTTTCCTAACTTGGAATGCATAAAATACGTGAGTCCGAACAAAAAAAAATGTGGTCATAATATCGTCATCGTGTTTTGACACGCAGAATAATAATAAATACATAGGTACATATTATATGAATAACATATTATACTCTTTACAATTTTAGATTAATTTACAGAAATACATGTTACAAGTTATAAGATACAATTCTAATTTATAAATGGTAATTTATTTTTCTAAATTAAACGTTTTAACGATTAATTTAGTGACACATACTTAACTTTTATTATAATATCTGTATGGTATTGGTACAATGGTACGTATAATTTCACTCACTAAAAAAATATTAACGGTGTGGTCGACCGCCACGCGCCCACGCTTATTTAATAATATACTCATATTCCAATAGATAAATAGGGTTAAACATACTCTTATGCCCCCCCTCAAAATTCTACTGTTATTATTATTTTATTTATTCTTTACCTATATAAGTAGTAAGTACGTTACATAACCATAATTGTAATTTCATTTATTCTTCGTATTAATTAATTCAATGTTTCAAAATGTAATATCTTTTAATATTTAATTGGTATCATATTAATAAGTTATTGAAAAAAATAATCACACCAAAATATTATGTACGTAGTATTATATAAGCAATAGTAATAAATCCTTGCATAAACGATAAACTATTAAAATAAAACTGAAAAAATCATCGAGAGTCTTCTTAAAGAGTATATTATTGTCCTGGTATCGAGTTCTAATGATTAATTTAACTTGTGAATAAATATAAGTTTAAAAGATAATTTTGTTCAGGGATAGATCCAGTAGGGGACGGGGCTAGGGGCTTAAACACCTTCCGACCTATTACTTCTCTATTTTTTTTATACTTCTATAGTTCTATAGGTCCTGATTTACTTTGGACTTTGTTATTTAATACACAATCAATCATACTTATTTATAACATTAAGATTATACTAATTGGGAAAAAACATTTTTTCATTTATAATTCTAGAATAAAATGTGTTTTGTAATTGTATTTCTGTGTTTAAAAATTTGCCCCCCTCTCCCCTTTGATCGTTGCTGTAGGTCCGTACCAGACTTTTTAGGTATACAACTAATAAATCATTAAATAAAGTATTTGAAACAAATTAACACATAATAACTAGGTAGGTTAGGTATGAATAAATAATGCATAATAATAAAAGCATGATTAAAAAGAACAGGTTAGTCATCGGTAATACAATTTGTACATGACTGCCCGGTCACAACTCATTACGCCGTACAAGGCCGTAGCAGGGGGGGGGTTAAAACCCCCCTCGAAATTTTTTTGAAATAAGATTTAATTATTTTTTAAATAAAGATTAATTTAATTTAAATTATATTTTTATATTTTCATATTTTATTAAATAATATAACATATTTATACTCTACCCCCCCTAAATAATTTTCTGGCTACGACCTTGACGCCGTAGTTCCATTAGTTGCCGAACGCTGCTAGTCAGATGTGTCAGATTTTCATTTTTCCAAATAGCCATCAATGATAGCCCATCACTGTGTTCTACCTTAAAGCCCTGCAAAAAAAGACTAAAAAGTTCATTCATTTTTGCTTTTTTTGCATTTCAGCTCATTGGTTTTATAGTTTGCTTAACTTTGACTTTATTTTTAGTTGTATTGTAATTATTTAGGTTATTTGTTTACATAAACTCACAATCCAGTAAAAAACTTACCAATCAGTCACGGATTTCAGTTGCCATAGCACCCCCCTTGGCATGAGTATACAGAATAAGACGGACCTTATAAAAAATCCTAGATCCGCCACTGATTTCAATGACTCCAGTCTCCAAGACCTAGACGACTATACTAGTTTATAATTTATACTCGCTTAGTCACCTGCGTTTACAATGGGTAAAAGGTTTAGTGTAAAATGTGAAAAAAATTGGTGTGTGGGTACTAATTTAAGGTAGTTTCTTTGTAGGAAAGAAAAGTTTATGTCTCCACAGGACTTACCTAATTGTTATTTGTTTTTTTTCCAACAGATTATTTAAGTAAAAACTTAATACGAATACAAATAAATAGTATAGTATTTGATACGAACTATGGTATAATTGCACTGCAATAGAACATATTAATATGGTATCACCCATTATTTTTCATTTTTTGTTCTGTATAATCGTGTAAAAAAGTAAATACACTCTGAATCGCATATACCTAATCAAAATCAATATAGTTCATAATATAATAAAATAAATAATAATAATGATATTCATCAAAATGTCAGCCAACAATTAGGTCTATACTTATAAAATTAGCTTTTTACAAAATCTAACCTTCTTATTTTACTTACATTTACAGATATTATATTGTAAAGGTAGAATAGAGGCCGTGTTTGTATTGCTCACGATGACGATAAACGAACTTGCTTATTATTGCTTATCAACAAGGAATCGGTAGCAAAATTCATCCATTATCGTAATCTATAATATTATGCACGTAATATAATATATCGAAACGTAATATTGGATTACAGGCTCCCTTATAATTAATAAACCACAAAGAAACCCTGAAAACGAATAAAAATTCTACTACCTAACCAAATTAATGGGACGCAATTCGTGTATACCTTTTTTCACGGGACGCAATTATAAACTAAGGTGCCCCGGATTCTTTTGGACAGTGTGGGGAATTATCAACACAATTTTATCTAGATAAGTTTTTTTTTAAATTAATTATCTTTAACGCATAATATTATATAGATAATTATTATGTTATGATTTATTTAATGTTTAGCTTAAATAAAAAAATAGGCTTATCTAGTTAATTTTAATATTATAGTGCCGGGCAATAGTATGGGACTGGATTGGTGCAACTGTAAAAACACAGCTCATTGATTAATTTCAGTTGAATTATAATTTTGGTCGTGTAAATTCATGCTAATTAAGCGCTAGTTATTTGTGCGAAAAAAAAATTGATTTTCGGAATGGACCGAGCTAGTGCAACGTACTTAACGAGTTTACGACCTTATAATATAATATGGCATGTATATGTTATATTTCATTTTACAGTCGGCACGTTGATACCGAGCTACATAAGTAGGTATAAGGACATTGACAATGGCGTAGGTAACCGATCGGGGTGAAACCTTTGATAATATTATAATAATATAATATAGTTTGACGTGGCTAGGTGGGTGCTCGGGACGGAGAGTAATTGTAGTGTGTTTGGGTGGGGGGGGGGTAGCACTACAGCAAAGTGAGTTACGCATAACAAATTTTTTAATAATTTAATATTGTATGGGTAGTATATATAGTAACCCGCAACGACGACGTGACTGCCGAAAACGCGTTTGACCGGCCAACGTCACCGCCGCCGCCGCCCGTCACCCTTCCCGCGAAAGAGAGCAATCTTTTCGCGTGACCCTTTGGCCCAATGATCGTGTGTGTGTGTGTGTCTCGGCGATCAACCCACTGTCGTGTGGCGGAAAGGCAGACAGCGAGTATCGCCGCCTCCGCCTTTCCCTGTTCCACGCGACGCCGCCGGTTCGCGTCCTCTGGCTCGCCGAGACACGCGCTTGCACCGCAGCACGCAAACGTAATACGTAAACGAGCGTGCGCGCGCGCGGTCGATCGAACAGCTGTTATCCCTCCCTCCACCCGCCGCGCACGAACGTGGTTCGCGTCCACCGTCGTCATGTGTGCGCCGCGTTTTCCGTCTTCAGTCAACCGTTTTCCGTCGGCAGTCGCGCGTCGTCCCGTCTCGCCGTTGCCGTCCGTCCGCCGTCGTTTACGCGGTTTTCCGTTTTCGCCGATTTCGCGCAGTGCGTCCCGCGTGATCCGTGCTTTTGATCGGACGCAATAGTGCCGCCGCGGTATGAATAAGTGAATCGTGTTTTTTCTTCTCACCGCATTCCTGCCGAAAAATGCTGGGAGTTTTCAAAAAACGGTGGAAGCCCAAAAGCAGGTTAGTTTATCATCGTCGTAGTGTGTCATTATATAACAACTACCGTCTTATCACCATCACCTGTGCGCCTCCGGTGGATATCGTACCGGCAAAATAGAAAATATTGCAATTATTGGTAGACGTGAATGTGATTTTTAGCTTGCGGTACCTGGAAGAGTCGGTACGGGTCGTATTGTGCTTTTTCTGAAAATAGTCTTTCCGAGATCTCGTAATAATAGGTTCGTTAAAAAAGTGGAGGATGGAGGATACTGAGCAATTATACTTAGGAATCTTACCGGCATTTCATTCCATTCTCTATTCGTATTTTATCTACAAATTACTTCTATTGGTTAAAAATCTAGGGATTTTTGTCGATTCTGCGTAATAAATCGTCACGAAATGTGTTTCGATGCACCTAAATAATATTATACCAAGAATATATTTTTAATGTATAATATCTTATTCGTCTTCGAGTCACACTCGATCCACTTATGTATAAAAAAAATACGTCAACGAAAAGTCATTTATGAAAATAATATATGATATTATAATTAACTGTATAAATATAAACAAATTATTTTTTGTCACGCCTGCACCGAAAATTTAGTTTTTGATGACGGTCGAAGAGTTGAAAAGCGACCTTTTGTTCCATCTAGCGGGCGATAAAGTGGGAATCCCCCTAGTGTCGGGTGGTAAAATGGAAATCCCAAAAAGTTGGATATGAGTATACCCGGCTCAACCAGACACTACTGAAATCTATACCACGGTTCTTACAAAAAATATACTCTAAGTTACGTCGTTTATTCATATTATAATCTCCTTGCATAATGCGTCAACATTTTTCTTTCATGAAATTGTTTTCGTAGAATGTCTAGTCGTTAGATTGCCTTTGCATTACCTTTGCCGTGATCGGTGGGCCAAAGACGTAACAAAAAATAGTGATTGTTGCTTGTCGGGAAGGTAATGTCAGTCTTGGGCGAAATGGGGCCCTCATATATGACTGAAATACCTTACTTGCCACACAAAATACTATTTATTTGGCTTATTTAGTGTTTATAATTCCGTAATGTTATTTTTAAAATTATGCTTGTTTTTAATTTTTGACATTTCCGAATTTTTTTTTGTTTCTAACACTTCTTATTAAAACCTTTCAAACGTTTTCAACAATATTTTAAACATGACATTTTGAATAGTCGTTGAAAACTTGGCATTTGATCTAGTTCTTGGTAAAATGCTATTGAATATTTAATAAACTTTTTTGTACAATGTAATGCCATATTAGTATTATAATCAAGTGTAGACTGTAGGTTATACACTTATACTTATAATGAGTATGAAAAATTTACGTTTTATTGAAAAAACGGTATTTTTTTCATTGTTATACTTAATGATATATTTACTTCAAATACCTACTGCCAAAGGTTTGTCATTAACCTGTTCGATAGATGGCCAAGTGGGTTAAGTGTCAGTCAACACCTATATTATTGTGTAATAATGTATGCATGTATGTATCGTTTTTTTGTATTCCTATTTTATTAATTACTATTAAATATCAATCAAGTCGTAGTTAGGTCACTGAGGCAGTTATGAAACGTATAATAGTATTTCTGATAAATAATTTTTACTACAATTTAATCTTTTAAAACTTAGGTGCCTTCATAAATATTTATTAAAACAAGTATTTCAAATATTTTTAAATTCTTAATAAATCCTTTCATATTTATTATTATATTTTTATAACATAAATTATTTCACTAAACCTTAGGAAGATAATAAATTTATAATTTATTTCAAACAAAAATTTGTTAATACCCCTATAGTGTAAAATAATTAATAGATAATACAAGAAGGTTATACGTAGGTAAAACGTATTTACTTTGAATAGAGGTTTCTATCGAACTGTCGTAATTCTGGTCATTTAAACTTCTGAAGTTTGTAGTAGGTTTTTAATTTTGTTATCTTATTGACTAAAATTAATTAATGAGTAGTTTTGAAATTCGGGGTATTTTGAATTTAGTGAAACATAGTTTACAGAAGTCGAGTTGGTCGGTAGTTGGTGTACAGTTTGTCAATTGTATGCTAAAAGTTTCAATGTTTCCTTTCCTATTCATTTTGTTATTACGTTTTTGGCCACTTTGTATGGTTAGGTGATAACCTTTAAGTTAGAAACATTTATTTTTCTTTAAAATTAAAACCATCTTTTGAAAAAATGAAAAAATAATAACTGTATTGGATTTTTGGTTTCTATTTAGAATAAAATAATAATAATAATGTATAATATTGTGGTACCTACCTATAAGTAATAAAAACAGAGTTAAAATTAACTTGAGCTATAAAGTAGTTTTGGTGTTGACATATAAACGATATTGGACTTAAATTATGTTATCTACTTATTGCTTTTAAAATATTATGTAAAGTTCAAGTCAACATTATCTTAAAAAGTAGTTAATATTTAAATTTATGAACAGTATTTGATCAATAAAAATATAATAACACAATGAATATAATGTAAAAGTAAAAACAAAGATTAAAGATTATAAAATAATGTTAATCGTATTGATATTCAAATAAATCAGATAACAATGATCGTAAACAAGCTGTTACTGGTAGGTATTTGATATTCAAAAAATCAGTCAACAATGATCGCACACGAGCTATAATATTAGACTCCACGTGCGCAAACGAATCGATACTTCAACAAACTTAAAATTTTGATAGGTGTCTCATAAAAGTTGAATATCCATAAATTACTTATTAAATTAATGTATTACATTTTAATAATGTTTGGTTGACTAGAAAACTTTGTTGAAGTAAATAGGTAGATAGACCCAATATATTTTTGATAGGTTTCATATAATTATACTAATGTTAAGAATGAATACAAGTAAATATTTATAGCCTATAGGCAGGGGCTCCATAAGGTGGACTAGGTGGAGGGAGGGGGGGGGTTGTTAAACCTGGAGTACAGGTTACTGGTTATTTTGGAGGCCCGTTGAAATGAATTTATAGTTTTTGAGATTTTGATAGGATTAATTATTTTATTATATTAAATACTATTTTATGATGCCTATATGCTAATATATGAAGTTTATATTATAAGTTTGTATACATATATATAATATATTATTAAGTTATTTTTATATTGAAGCTATGGATTGGTTATTGATTACCTATCCATAAAGTATCGATTATGGGACACTCGTATCGTTTCACTCTTGTAATGAGCTGTATTTGATTGCTTATGGAAGTTTTGTATAGGCCCCCCAAAAACATTTATTACAGGGTCCCAAAATTTAATTTGGCATGGGGTCTGCCTATAGGTATTGTAATATTTTGTAGATTTTTTATAGTCAAATTACCCTATGGGTTCCGAATATTATTAGATATCTTTACATTAGATATATTTAAAAATAATATAAAATTATAGTTACAGGAAAAAAATTATTGGGCATTAGTACGCTTAGTACGTTTAGTATTATATTAATTGTTATAGGTATTGTTATATTTTGCAGATTTGATATGGTCGAATTACGTTCTAGGTTCTGAACATTATTAGATATTATTTTCCATTACAATTTATCGTTAAAAATAATGTAAAATTTTAATATTAGAAAAAAAAATATTAATTAGAAATTAGTATGCCTAATACGTGTTAGTATTATCTATATGTGTATGTAGTACATCGTAATGTACACAGTTTTATACATTTGCATTTACAGTGAAATGTTATGGTCAATTATTTTCTTGCAACACAAACACAATATTGAAAAATAAAGTCGCTACGCTCTCTTGAATATGTATGAAGTTTTAAAAGTAAATAACATACACAATATGTAGTTGTATGTCTTTCAAGCGGGTATAAAAAGTTAATTCAAATTACAATTATATACGTAGCGTGTGCAGTCACGGCGATAAATTAAAAGTATAAATTACTTATTTATTTTTAAATTTCCTGTACTATTCGTTCGTATAACTGTAGAAATAAGTATTATACGTGTTTATTTGCACTATAAAAATTAAAAAAATATATATTTACAAAGAGTATAAAAGCAATTAAGTTGAGTCCATAAACTTTGTCCATCCATTTTACCCAATTCACTCCAAAAAATAGCGAATTAGCAAGTAATAGCAAGTTATGGTTTTCAAGTTATTGTTATGCGCGCAAATAATGTTAGCTATTATAATCTATAGAAATGTAAAGAGTATAGTGACATTTTAAATAGGAACATAATACTTCATACAAGTTGGTAATTTCATATATTATGTATTTAATAATGGGTGGTTTAGTATATTTTAACTTTTTTTTGGAAGTCAATAAAAAACAAAAAACTTATTATTTATTAATTTATACATAATATTATATTTTAATATATCTATACATCATATGGTTATACTATTAACCATATATTAGTACCTACACACTTTTGTTTTTACTGTATTTCAACAAAATATAATATAATCTTATGGTCTATTGGAATTAATTTATATTCATATTTCATTAAAATATTATGTTTGAATATATAAAGTATCGACTAAATATTATCAATATCACAATTTCCACAAATAAAATTATATTAAATAAGAAAAATAAAAACCAAGTGTATGAGTTTTTTAAAGTTCCCTCTATTTGTATTTTATTTTAAAGATATTTGAAAAATGACTTGTATGAATAAATTATAAAATTCATTTGTGTTTAAAATAATACTGTTTATGGAATTATCATCTTATTTATTAAAATTGTTGGTTGAATTATGTCCAATCCCTTATAAGTTCAATATTTTTCATTTATACATTTTTTTCTTCTACTTATTTTTTTCACTCAAATTGTTGATATCCATTCTATATTATTCTGTCTCATCATGCTTAGACCTTCATTTTTTTTTTCATGTGACTTGTAGTATTTGAATACTATTCTGATACGCAGTGTACTGTCTCTCCCACTTAATTAGGTCCTCTACTATATTCAACTTCTTTAATTTATACTTCCTATGAATCATTTATGGACAACTATTTATGGTAAA